ATGCAACATAACGATGCAACAGAAGCCCTTTCACTAGAGATAGAAAAGTTTCTCTGAAAAAGCTGAAAGTTGGTTTTTATGAGAAATGTTTGAAATTATTATTGCTTGACTTTCCTCTTTTATATTAAACTAACCCATGAACAGAATTCAGAGTTCTGTTTTGATCACTTGTACCTCTGTTAACTTAATGTGCTGTGATGCCTCATTCATATACGCTACTGATTCCTGGATTCCACACCAGTTAAAACGTGAGTTCACGTGGAACTTAATAAAATCACTTTTATGTTTTTTAAATTTAAATCCCTAAGTTTGGCTCCATGAAACTCACATTGATATTTGACCTGGGAGACATTCACTCAGGATCAGCTCACTATGAAACCGACCAGCTTCTTTGTTTGTTCATTCAATCTACTGTAGACACTAGTGGTATAACAGAAAGCTGCTGTCCATATCTCTATAGCTTTATTTTCACAATATTATATTTATTCAGACTTCTAATGCTAATGATCCTACCAGTCACATCCCATACAGTCTGAATCATTTTAGCTGCTTACAAAATATACAAAATACATAATATTTTAACCTTTTACCTAAATTCATCCATTATCCATCCATGATATTCCGCTGATCTGGGGTCGGGTTACAGTGGCAACAGGCTAAGCAGGAGGTTCTAGAAATTCCTCTCTCCAGCAATGCTTTCCAGTTCCTCCTGGGGGATCCCGAGGCATTCCCAGGCCAGATGGAATACCACTTATGAACCACTTTAGCTGGCTCCTTTCAATGTGAAGGAGCAGCGACTCTACTCCGAGCTTCCTCCGGATGTCCGAGCTCCTTACTCTATCTCTGAGGCTGAGCCCAGTCACCCTACAGAGGAAACCCATTTCAGCCACTTGCATCCACGATCTTATTCTTTCGGTCACTACACAGAACTCATGACAATAGGTAAGGGTTGGAACCAAGATCGACTGGTAAATCGAGAGTTTTTCCCTCTGGCTCAGCTCCCTCTTCACCACAATGGTTGGTACAATGTCCATATTACTGCTGATGCCATGCCAACCCACCTGTCAGTCTCCTGCTCCATCTTACCCTCACTCATGAACAAGACCTCGAAATACTTGAACTCCTTCACTTGGGGCAGTAACTCATCCCCATCCCAGAGGGAGCAATCCACCATTTTCCGGCTGAGAACCATAGCCTCAGACTTGGAGGTGCTGACTCTCATCCTGGCCACTTCGCACTTGGCTGTAAACTGTCCCAGTGAGCAATAGAGGTCATGCTGTGATGAAGCCAATAGAACCACATCATCTGCGAAAAACAAAGACGCAATTTGGAGGTTCCCAAAGCAGACACACTCCTCACCTTTGCTGTGCCTCAAAATCCTGTCCATGAATATCACAAACAGGATCGGAGACACAGGACAACCTTGGCGGAGACCAACATTCACTGAAAACGTGAGAATACGGACACAGCTCTCACTTTGGTCATAGCAATGGGCCCGGTACCCCATACTCCTGAAGTAGCCCCAACAGACAATCAGTCGGAGCTTCCTTTCCAGCACCCTGGAGTAAACTTTTCCAGGGAGGCTGAGCAGTGTGATACCCCGATAATTGGAGCCCACTCTCTGGTCCCCTTTTTTAAAAATGGGAACCACCACCCTGGTTTGCCACTCCACAGGTACTGTCCCCGACCTCCATGTGACATTGAAGAGGTGTGTCAGCCAAGACAGCCCTCCAATGTCCTGAGCCTTCAGCATCTCAGGGCGTGTCTCATCCACACTTGCCGCCTCGCCGCCAAGGAGCTTCTTGACTGCCTCAGTGACCTCTGCCAGGGTTAGTGATGAGACTTCCCCTGAGTCTTCAGGCTCAGCCGACTGTTAGCCAGGTTCAGGAGTTCCTCAAAGTACTATTTCCACCACCCAACATCATCTCCAGTCCAGGTCAGCAGTTGTCCTCCCTGACTGAATACAGCCTGGGCCGAACGGCTTGCCAAAACTTCCTTGAGGCCAAACGAAAGTCCTCCTCCATAGCCTCTCTGAACTCCTTCCAAACCCAAGTTTTTGCTTCCACAACCACCAAAGCTGCCGCCCGGTACTGATCTGCTGCTTCTGGAAACCCCTGGGCCAGCCAAGCTCCTAAGCGCTGCTTCTGCAATGGAGACTTTGAACATGGCCCACTCAGACGGAGGTGTGAGTTGAAGACCTCACACCCTCACTACACACTTGGGTTTACCAGGTCTGTCCAGCAGCCTTCCCAGCAATCTGATCCAACTTACCACCAGGTGGTGATCAGTTGACAGCTCTGCCCCGCTCTTCAGCCAAGTTTCCAAACCATATGACTGTAGATCTGATGATACGACCACAAAGTCGATAATCAACCTTTGGCCTAAGGTGCTCTGGTACCAAGTACACATACAGTATGAGCTACCTTATGTTCGAACATGGTGTTCAATATGGCCAAACTATGACTAGCACAGAAGTCCAATAACAAAGCACCACATGGGTTCAGATCAGGGAGGCCGCTGCTCCTAATCACGCCCCTCCAGGTTTCTCCGTCGTTGCCCACATGGGCATTGAAGTCCCCCTGCAGAATTATAGAGTACCCAGACAGAAGCCTTTCCAGGATACCACGAGAGACTCCAAGAAGTTTTGGTACTCTAAGCTATTGTTTGGTGCATTAGCACACACACAACAGTCAGAGCCTTCCCCACTGCAACCCTCAGCCACATAGTGGCAACCCTCTCGTTCCCTGGGGAGAACTCCAACACTGTGGTGCTTCACCAGGTCGTGTGAGTATATATGAGATAATGGACACTGGTACTTTTAAGACAGTCTCTCCTCATTTCCCCCTGTATTTTCAAGACGTGAAATCAATGTGCTACAATTATAATTACAATATCTTGTAATAAATGGTCTTAATTCATGTTTTTATTATTATTATTTTGCCAATACTTTAACATTTTGACGAATTTTGTCATAAAGTTCACAGTGCGGTGAAAACGTGAGATGGATGGCCTCTAAAATCATGTCAATAAGGTCTAAGCTGTTTTTTTAACCATGATTTTTGAATGATGATTTTTGAACAATGATTTGTCTTTCTCCCTTTTTTTGTGTTTCATCCACTCGGTTGTCTTTTGGCCATTTAGGCTACACCCAAACCAATAAGTTTTAGTTTTAAAATTCATCTCTTGCTTCGTTTACTCAGAGACTTCAGAAACTCTGCTGGACCAGTTTTATTTTGAAAACTGTGGGGTTATGTTGTGGTCTGGATGGACCGAAAACCTAGAGCTTTGGAAACGGTGATTTAAACACCCACGGTGTGAGTAACACCCAAGTTTTATCTTTGCTAGCACCTGTTCAGTTAAATTCAGCATTTTAATGCTACAACTGTCTTTGTTGTTCCTTGTTGGTAGTATTTTGTGTGACTAACCAACTGCAGAGTAGACAATCTGTTTCCTGTTTACACCGGCTCGCCCATGCCCAGTGTATGTGAATGGTCATGTGATATGTGTTTTCAGGTGTGTTTCTGATACAGAGCTAAAACAGTCGTCTGGATGGAGATTGTTGTTGTTTAAAAACTAAAACATATCAGTGGATTTAGCCTTAGTTTTACAAGACAGGTCATGGAGTGGAGTTGATCTTCCGGGGGACATGGTGCCACGGTTGAGGGAAAACTGAACCCATATGCAGACAACACAAAAAGGGGTTGGTGGGGAAAAAAAACAATTTTTTAACAACAAAAAGTATTCACAAAAGTTATCCAAAAAACAGGTAGGAACAGAAAACCAGAAAGTCCAAAAAAAAAATGGGAACACGGGAGCATGACAGATGGGAAACGAGATGAAGGCAAACTGAAGCAAAAGAGAAAATCCAAATACTCAGAGAACAGGAGCAAGAGACTGTATGGAAACTCAGAGGAAAACAGATGAACTGACATGGACAACAGGGAGCACAGAGACTAAATACACAGAAGGGAGGCAAAAGTGATTGAACACAGGTGAAACACATTAGGGTGGGGCAGACAATCACAAAGGAGGGAAACAGGACATAAATATCCAGGAGATGCACAGGAGAAGTGATTTCAAAATAAAGGAAATCAACCAAAAGCCCAAACATAAATTGTCCAAAAGCCAAAAGAAATAGTTCTGTGAGGGCAAACCATGTCACATGGGTGTGATTACAAAACACAGGATTGACAAAATCATTAGGATTCATGCTCAGTTTCTATTGTAAATGCTGTACAGTAGTTTTTGTGGTTCCCTGCACCAAACTGTTGGTGATAAGATCATTTTGATTGGATGATGGTGCAGTAGAGAATGTCAGGGGGATCACCACAGACATGAGGAATCCTCCTCTGCAAACCATGAATATCCATGAAACTCCATGACACGCTCAGCAGCAGGTGTTGAGATTTCTTACTCTGGACCCAAGAGCTGAAATGGTGGACAAACATTTCCATCCACAGGATCTGCAACAAAGTGGAAATGTAAATCACAGCATGGAAACATTCAGGATGTTCCCGCGAGGACTGACAGCTTGGTTATTATTTCATCTTGCAAACAGTTTAACATAACATCAGCAGATTTAGATGTTTCCAGTGGGAATGATATGAAATGCAAAGACTTTGCCTCAACTTAGTTTAGGTTTGGATAAACAGAAAGTGTCAGACACCATCATTCATTGTTCCTATCATATTTAGCACATTAAGAGTTATTAATGCTCTAAGTTGTTTGTAGTGAATCATCTCACTGAAAAGTAGCATATTGATAAAGAAGGGTACTGGAGGTTGTCAGGATGAATGTTTAATATCACTGTTCATTATTAATATACACAATATTAGGAACATATGACATTAATCCAATTTTCAAAACATTCACTGAGCTGAGTGGAGGAAGGCAGCCAACTGGTAAGATCCAGAAACCGGCTTGGCAGCAGCTTTGCTTCCTGTTACATAACACTGTGCTTTCACATGCATCAGTTCATGATATACTCTTTTGTTCGGCAGGTCCTGCAATCCCTGTTGGAGTGGATGTTCAGGTGGAGAGCTTGGACAGCATCTCTGAAGTTGATATGGTAAGAAAGTCTGTATTTATCCACATCTGTTTACACACCCACCAGTTCCATTTAATTATTAAGTGACATTTAGTGTTTCGGCAAATACCCCAAAATGTTTCGTTCAAGTGTCAAAGCCTGTTAGCAGCCGGGGGTAAAGGCCAGGTGATGCTGTTATAACAATAATAGGATGGATGGATGGATGGAATCAGTTTTTCTATATAAGCTTTTTTCTGTCACATAACATGATGTCTGTCAATAGCAAAGGCTAAAACCATTTAGTTAAGTGTTAAAAGTGTCTTAAATCCAGTAACTACATGTAAGTGGAGCATATAATTTTAGTGGGCCATACTGCAATAATAGACCAAGGGAAGAACATACGGTGGCACCAGTTGGAATCCTGAAGCTGGTCCAAAAAATGGTGCAGCTCCTGCTGTTTGGATGAATGACAATAAATCAAATATGCACATTTTTATTTTAAGCTATCAATATTAAAGAGGAGATATTATATCCACATTTAGTGTTCATCTCTAAAATACATTTACATGCTTTAATGTTCCAAACACAATATTTTCCTTATACTATTGTACTCTATTCAGCTGAACTGAAACACTGAGACTGTCCTCCTTCAAAAAACGAGCCCACAGGTCGTCTGTCCAGCAGGTTATTATGACCCATAGATATGTTTTGTTGCTAGGCGACATCTAGTGGTCGTAGTAATGATGACAGGAGCAAAGGGAAAAACGTAGTATAGTATAAGTGAAGTAGTATAAAGAGAGACAAAGTCCATGTCAGGAGGAGGTTGTGGTGGATGGATGGGTCACCAAAACACAGGAATATGACACAGGAGAGGTGTGTTCGACTCCCATGTGAAACCGGTAGTTTATATTGTTTCTGTTATCCATGACTGTTCGTTGTTATTATTGTAACAATGATATCAAAGATCATCTGATGTTGAGGAAATACTTATTTTAACCCAAATCATGATCTTTTCCTAAACCTAACCAAGCCATGACTGTTTATTATAGTAACCACAGCAACGTTGGGTGCGCTGCTCTTGGTACAGTCGCTTGTTTATTATGGTAACGATGACAACGAGGGTCTAGTACGCATGCCACCGTAGGGGCGCTATTTCAGGAGACACCTCTATGGGTCGTGTCAGAGGGTTGGAGGACTTGTTTGAAACACTTTGTTATTGCTGACATGTTTTCTTTTTTCTTCTCTTTATTGAACTCGTAAAGCACAGTGTAAAGAGGTACAATCAGTACAAATTGATAATTGTTGCTAAGTATGTTCAGTAGTTTCTGTGCTGCTTTCTTTTCCATATAATTCAGTGATTTACATTATAGAACTAGTTCTTTCATTAAAACAAAAAAAGACTTGTGTCTTAATACGTTTACATTTGTGGATAAAGAATTTTCATAAAATAAACAAAAATTCAGCTTTCTTATCCTCCTTAATGTAATGCCATGTCTGGTAAAGACTAAGAGAAGGAATTCTGGAATTTAGCCAGTCATACATATCACACCAGAATCTGTTACTATAAAGACAGAAGAAAAATAAATGATCTGTATTTATCCGTAATGATCCATATAATAATCTATATATATATACATATCATATTCCTCATCATATTCCTTCTTATGAAGGTAATTTTCAAACGTTAGGCTGTAATCTTGGTAGAATAGGTTGACAAATGTTATGAGACGCCTGTGCTGAATTGCACAGAAAATAGAATGATTGTAAAGAAACTTGTTTGGGAAAACCTTTTTTGTCTATTAATCATCAGTGCTTGGAGATTGGGGGGGGGGGGGCAACCATGTGAAGTAATGCATTTTAAACCAGTAACATAAAGGAAGTTGGTATGCTTCTAATGACCTTGTCAAATTGTTTACAATTCCATTGGAAATCTAATTTCACACAAAATACCTCAAAAGGTAAGAAGTTGCCGAATTCATCTACCAAGTGCATGACAGATCAAACTCAGAAAAATAAAGACTTATTTCTAAAGAAAATGAAAATGCACTTCCAGGGGGGGGACATCATGTGGTGTGAAATTGTGCTTGGATAATAGTTTCCAATATGACAGTGCTTGTGAATGGAATGAGGATAATTTAACAGGTAGTTTTTAAATTTAAATTCCACCAATCTTTTTGAAAATCTCAGTTGGAACACAAAACCAGAAGCTGTTGTTACTCACTAGAAACAATCTTAACCATTTGATCTTTCAGGTTCCATTTAGTCTATGGCCTGTGACCGCCATTTTCATATCTTCTTACAATGGCAGCTTCTTTTAAATAATGTTTTTTTATTTTCCAAATATAGTCAAAATTTAATTTGTTGATGGTTTTCACTGCTTTGTTAGATATGGAAAGACAACAAAATGGATAAATGCATCTTGACAGACTTTCCATTTCAGTGATATAAATGTGACCAAAAAGGGAAAGATCCCTATTTAACCATCTATCTAACCTTGACTTATATTCATCCATTTTAGTCCATACATTTAAAGTTTCACATAATTTAGGGTCCTTTGTGACATGTACACCTTAATATTTGGCCGAAAGATTTGATTGGGATACCATATATGCTGTCATAAGATGGCAGTCAATGTATGGCTAACAATTCACATTTATTAATATGACAATGTACAATTTCAAACATCTACATAAATGGCCATATCAATCTAGCCAGTATTATTCATAAACATAGCCTATACATTTAAAGAAAAAATGTTTAATCAAAGTATCCTTTTGTATTTTAAAGCCAAATCTAATCTAAATCGAATGAATCTTTGCTTTGTTGCACAGCTGCAGGGTTGACCCATGTATATCAACCACACTGTTATAACAGTGCTAGTTATGAAGAGGAACTCAACCAAAAATTAAGTATAAATCAGTATTAGGCTGCACTTTTTGTTACCCCTGATAGTTATTTTGCCTTAGAAGCACATGAAAGAGTGCGTAAAGAGTGAGTTGCGAGCGCAGAAAGACACCTGATGGAACTGTCTTTTGGGATTCTGTTTCTGGCCGTTGGAAGTTCATTGAAACACAAACACATTAAGCTTGACAGTTAGCCCGAACTAGCCTACAGAGCAGGCTAGTTCAGCAGTATAAGTTACCATGGTTACTGAGCAGGGAATCCCATGAGCCACAGGACTGGAACGAAACTCTGACTTCTGTTAGCGAGACTTAAGAAAATACACCAGGATTTTCCTTCATCTACCTTGATGGAATAGATCCCGGGTTAACGAGCACAGCTGTGTGTTAAAGGTAAGACAGCAAGCATCGCTGACGATGTAATAAACATCACAATCCTCCACACTGAAGTTACAACAACAGCACACTCTGATGAACAAGTTCACCTGTTGATTAAAGACACACCAAGAGAGAGAGAGAGGGAGGGAAGCTATCACTAACTGCTGAGCTAAAGCAACTAGCAGATCTGAACAGCATGTAAGCAACTGCTGAATTAGTGAAAGCCATTAAAAGGAGCAGAGAGCTCTAGGTGCTGGAGCAGAACTATTGTAAGTTTAAATGTACAACAGGTAGTTAGACACTGTGATGAAGAAACCAGCAACATTAATTGTGTTCAGACAGAGCAGCAATAAACTCTACCAGTAACAAACTCCAGCGACTGCAGATGAGACGCTGACTGCAGCACGTGAACGGTCACTGTTACTGTTACTGAAAAGACATTTTACTACAGTAGAAGTATATCAATGTGTAGAAAGGTGCTCAGATAAAAGTACAAAGTGAGTCAGTTAAAATGTTTCTGAGTAAACGTGTTACATTTTTAAAAGGGGGACGGGGAAAACATCTTATATGGTGATAATAATGATATAGCTATGATTGACTTCATTGTCTGACTTTATCATCCATCTCAGTGGAAATTCATCTCCCAAAGAAAGTACAATAAAAATCCATACAATTAACAAAACATGCCATTAAAAACGTATAACATGTACATAGTGCAATAGTGCAAATAAGCATGTAGCAGCAGATAGGTTAAATAAATAAATACATTCCAAGAGCAAATCTTATAAAATAAGAATATGTGTTACAAGTGTTCCCAGCTTCAGTCATTCTGTTTTCAGCCTGACAGCATAGGGAATAAAAGACTTCTTGTATATGTTCCAGCTGGCCCTTGGAACCCTGAATCAATGGCCAGACGGAAGCAGTTGTGATGGCTAGACAACTGGGTCAGAGCATCTCCAAAACTGCAGGTCTTGTTGGGTGTTCTTGGTCTGCAGTGGTGAGACAACCGGTGAACCAGCGACAGTGTCACAGGCGCCCAAGGCTCATTAATGTGCGCGGGGAGTAAAGGATCATTTGTGTTGTCTGATCCCAACAGAAGAGCTACTGTAGCACAGATTGCTGAAAAAGTTTCTGTTGGTTCTGACAGAAAGGTGTCAAAACACATAGTGCATGGCAGCTTGCTGGGTATGGGGGCTGTAGCAGACATACCTGGCCTGGCATCAGTCACAAGCCATTAAGGAAGTTCATTATAAGGACATGCAGAGTTACAGACCCACAATTAATAATACACAACTGACATTTCCATGACTCTTCCCACCATCAAACTATCCAACTGATAGGAAACAGAGACAAAGGACCCTTATCTCACAAACAGTCCATGCTTTTACCATGCCAGAGAGACACAGAACCAGACCAAAGGTCAATGGGTCAACTCCAGAGGATCAACCAATGGACACCAGGCAACTGGAGAATATAGGCAAAATCTCCAGTTTGTAACAATAAGACTCTGTCTAATGATATTTGATTGTTTCTTATAGAGGACAAGTAACAACAAAGGGACTGATTAACACTAAGGTGTGAATCCTGGTCTCTCAGTGCCATGCATGAACACACACACCAACCTCCCTTCCTCTGTCCCTCTCTAGATAAGAGTCATAAACTACAACCCACATTCCAATCCTGGGTAGTGACCAGCAGAACTCTCTTCACAGACACAGATCTGAGGAAGAATGTAAAATAATATATATAATAAAATAATATAATATCTAGCTGTTCTGTAACTCATGAGATGTTCCTATGCAATAGTTTAATCCCAAACTTCTATCCCATAGAATGTTTGAAATGTAACAATGCCCTTCATGTGTACTGTCAGCATCCTTCACACAAGGTAACACACACACACTACATGACATCCAGAATGTCCATATTATTATTATTACAGTCAAAGAACTGCTGTGTAATCCACATTTATAGACTATTAGCTTTAGTAAATGTTTATATTGTTGTTTGATCAGTTAACCATTTGTATCATGATTAATTCCAGGTTTGAAGGATGTAATATGAAATCAACACTCCTATTACTCCTCTCTGCCATTATTAGTGCAAGTAGTTTTATATGTTATTTCATTTAATGTTTTGTGGTCATGGTGGAAGACGGATGTGCGAGTTTATAAGTAAACTCTAGAATAAAATTATTCCAAACTTCAGTGGAAAATGACTCTTTTCTACAAGTGGAAACACAGGAGAAGACGGATGACGCCCCTGAAACATGCGCCAGCCCCCAGGGGATAAAACAGTCTTGAACAATTCACACAAGGTCAGAAAGGTTAGAAGTCAGAACGTAAGAAGAAGGAAAAAGGCCCAGAGATGAGAAGATAGTAAGAAAAGAGAAAGTAAGAAATGCTAAGAAACTCAAAAGATGCGAGAAGCAAGAAACAAAGCTAAAAGCTAGAGGCTGAAAACTGAAGCTAGAAAACGATGCAGAAACTAGAAGCTGAGATCAAAGCCCGGCTCTGTAGCCATGTAAACTCTTAGCTCTAAGCTGCTAGCCACAAACTCATTGCTCTTAGTCATTTTTGCACTTCTCGCGTCTTTTATTTTTCTTTGCCACAAGCTCCAAGTTACATGATTTTTATCTACATGCGCGATCTTTTATTTTTATAAGCCAAGTCAAGACCAACTGAACCAAAACCACAGAAGTGCCTCAGAGTAATTTTGTAACTTTTAAATTGCTCCAGAAGCTATGCATACTTTCATTCATGTTGAGAAGAAGACATTACTGAACAGAATAGTACATGTCATAACGAGCCTAAAATTACTCATATCATGTTATTCATTTTGAGATATTTCAGAGAATAACAGAAGAGCAATGCACATGACCACTGTAGAAGTACTTCCTGCATACAGTATATAAGTCCTTTTACCTTTTATTTTGCCCTGTGGTAGGCAAAAAAAAACAGTTTCTGTCTTTGTTCAGGCAAAGATGGACTTTACATTTCCAGCAGTAGACATGTGAGAAGTGATTGCCTGTGCAGTGCTTGCATCTTTGTCGGGTTGCCCATGTTGGGAAATGATCAGTACCATCCTTTCTCACATCAGGAGGCACTCTAGAGTTTGGTCTTTTACGGGGAGGTGTTGCATCTGGCTCCGGAGAGGATAGTGGTCTGCCACACTTGATTCTGCCCTTTCCTGCACTTGTGAGAGAAGTGCCAACAGAAGCCTGAAACCTTCTCAAGGCCATGGGTTTCATCTGGGGCTCCAGTTTCTTCTGGTCTCTTCTGAACAGGTTCCATGCATTGATGACTGCCACTGTGACAGTGTGCCACCAAATGTACATATACCATCTTCGGGATCTGAAGCTGAATTTGTAAAGTGCAGACAGCATATCAAGGAGGTCAACACCCTCCCATGAACTTGTTGTATGCTTCAACAATGGCTGGTCTGGGAACCATTATGTGTGTTTTGGATTTTTCGATCCCAGCGCTTCACATTTCCCACTGGTTCAATGCCAATGAAAGAAGAAAGTAGGTTCACAGCTTTGTTGTCACACCATCTTACAGTGATGTTGTTGTCCTGGTTTACTCTAAAATCCCACGATCCTCTTCCCTTTTTTCTCAAATCTTTTTCATCCATCATGTTGCGGTCTTTTACCCTGTTCATTCGCACTGTGCCTATGTACTGGATTCCTCTTCCATTTAGGTGTTCCAATAGCGGAACTGATGTGAAATAGTTGTCAACAAAAACCTTGTGATTTTTTTTCCAGTTGGAAGGGTTGATGTCATTTTTAGGACAACATCCCCAGTAACACCAACATCAGGTTTCTCTTTGTCTGGATTTTCTGCACCTCGACAAACATCAAAATCATAAAGAAAGCCACTTTGTCCGGCACGTGCCGACATCTTGAACCCCCATTTGTGAGGTTTTGCTGGCATATAGACACGTAGGTGAGATTTTCCCTTGAATGGCACCATCATCTCATCAACTGCATGGCATTCTTCAGGAGCTATGCAAAGAAATTGTTCTGGTAGTTTCTGTAACCACGGCCTGAGTTTCCACAGTTCTTTCTATCTTTCTTTGCATCATCAGACACACTGAAGTTGTCCTGAAAGTGAATCAGTGTCAGCAATTTCAGAAATCGGTCTCGAGACATTACATCACAAACTGTGGGATCTGCTGCTCACGTCTCTGACTAAAAATACTAACTAAAAATAAAGCAAAAACAACACAAATCATTTCTGGAAAAACCAACAGGGGGGTCTCTGTGCAGACTGATGAGGAGGAAGTAACTCAGACGTTTAATCTGGGGCTTTAAAAGTAACAAACAGTACTAAAGACATTAAAAAGGAACATAATCAGTTCTTATTTCTTAGTTTTTGTCAGGGCTAGCTGCTGCATTCTGTACATTTGTTGTTTGTTTTTTTTATCCATGTTTATGAATAGACCTTTACAGTCGTCCAAACATGACGAAATGGAAGCATATATGATTTAACATTGGATTTCTGAAGTTCAAAATTAAAGAGATTCTGGCAATATTCCTTAGATGTAGAAGACAGAGTGGATAACGCTCATTAATATCTAATTTAGGTTGAGGCTGGAATCCAACATCAGGTTTCTGACAGAATATTAGATATGTTCGACAGGATCTGTGTGTGTGATGATCAGCGCCAATCGCCAAAAGAATTAGTGGTCAATCTGTTGGGTGAAAAAAAGTCAATGTAGCACTGTGTTTTAAACAAATTTAAACAAAACAGTCACCTATATAATCCCATATATTTTCCTCCTGTGCAATGAAGGGTAAAACCATCTGATACAACAGTGTAGAGGTTTAAGTAAATGACTTTTTCTGGCTTCAAGTGAGTTCAGCTCCATCCAACTCAGAACAATAGATTTTTTTTTTTGTTTGTTTAATTTTGAATGGTTTACTGTCTGTTGTCTGGTCAGTTTAAAAGATGTGCAGAGCTGAGGAGCTTTGAATGGCTGAAATAGTTTTTTGTCTGTTGGGCAGTTGCCAGGCAGAGTGACTGAATGATGTGAAGTCAATAGGAAGGGAAACAGGAAGCTGAGGAAATCTCATTAAATGCTGACAATAGAGCAGTTAAATGATGGCCTGTTTCTCCAGCTGATGGGCTGCGTGTTGGTTCATACAGCAGCCAGATCTCCCCGACTGTTCCACTCCTGTCAGTCACGTCTCTCTCTGTGTGAATGCAGGTTAGTGGACAGTATACGTGTCCACAACTTAACTGTAAAGTAATCCCTATTTCCCTATCATATAGTCTATATGAAACATAGAGTCTACAGTTTGAATAGAACATTATTGTATATGGTTAATAGATGAAATATAGAATTAGAATAATAAATACACGAATTAGGGAAAAGAAAGGAAAAAGACTAAACAAATCACATGCACGCATGCAAAACAACAACAACAAAAAAAAAAAATAGTTTGTTTAATTGGTAAATTGTCAGCAGTCATGTCGGCTGTAAAAAAAACCACCATACAAGATAATACAGATTTGAGAGAAGAAACATACATTTTTCCTTTATGGAAATGAAAAGTTTAATTCATAACCCAGTGGTCCTCAACCTGGGGGTCACAGAATCATTTCAGAGCGTCACCAGATGGTTGTGGAGAAAAAAATAAAATAACATATGAAAAATACAATATTTTAGTCAGTTTTTTTCACCTGCACCAGTGATATAATTTGCCTTATAATAAATCTTATCGGGTGTGTTTTTGTGAGAGTCAAAGTGTGCACGCACATGAGTTTCTGACACCAAAAAAAAAATGCTTTTGTACCATGTCGTGGCTTCTCAAAAAAGTATTCCCATTCAAGGCTCAACAGGAAGTGTCTCACATTAAATAAAGCCAAAACCGAATTAGTTGTTCTGTCTGAGCTCTTCCGGTGTGAGTTTCGTACCTTCCATGTGTTATATTGTCGTGACGAAGTTGTAAATCAGGAGGTTCCGCACTGTTCAGCCATGTAGGACAAACCGTCATCACAAACAAAGAATTATTTATTATTTATTTACGTGTATTAATCAGTGCATTGACAATAATCACTCGAAATGACTCTCTGTCTCTGTCTTTCGTTGATTGTCCCTTCACTTCCCTGTAATGATAATTAGGGCCAAAAGTTGTATTTACAACCACGCGGGGGGGTCACAAACACCAACGTGATTATTCTGGTGGGTCGTGACTCCAAAAGGTTGACAGCCTGAACTGTTTGTTTGTGATATTTGGCAAAGGCAGGGAATGAAAGAATAATTGAATTAAATGTGATTTTCCAGCTTTTGGTCCCATTCCCCTCCCTATAAGTCAAGTTGCCCAATGATGACGTCTTTTAAGCAACTGACTCAGAAAGAATTGTGGAAATGATGGGACATTGAATGCACCAATATCGTGCAATAAACTAGATCAGTCTGAGTGAAAAGGTGGTTAGTTTGTGTCTTAAACTTGGATGTGACTTTGTAAATGAAAACTGATTGGGTGAATACAGAGATTTGATTCTAACGACAGTCTTCTACATGCTCCACCAGGACTTCACCATGACCCTGTACTTGAGGCACTACTGGAAGGACGAGCGTCTGTCGTTCACCAGCAGCACCAACAAGAGCATGACGTTCGACGGTCGCCTGGTGAAGAAGATCTGGGTCCCTGACGTCTTCTTCGTCCACTCCAAGAGGTCCTTTATCCACGACACCACCACCGACAACATCATGCTGCGCGTCTTTCCTGATGGGCACGTCCTCTACAGTCTGAGGTCAGTGGCATGTTAGCGTCATTTTCAGCCAACATTCCCTGCTAATTTATAAACACATTACATTTACATTCATATACACACTTATTAATGCTGTAGGAAACTGCATACATTTATCTTACTCCATATTATTCAAATCAAATGGGTTAACTGAGCCAGTGGAAAATATGCACTGCTACTTGATGTGCTTTGAAATGTGTTTCATCTCTGAATCCTAGGGGCAAAATCAATGAAGGAAAAACGGTTTTCAACTCATTACCGTTCAATTCAACTCCATTAATAAACAGATTGGTACGCAACCCTGTCATTTGACTACACTCGACAGGGTTGCATGTAGCAGGGTTTGCAAATTTAGCCTGCGATCCACTATTATCAATGAGGGTTTAGCTAGCTTGGAGGGACATGGTGCATGCTAACTATGGATAAACATATTTTTCTGTATACTGAAGAGAAAGTATGTGATATTTAAGATATCTAACAATGATGTTGGTAACAGGGTTGCACCATTAAAATTTATGACAGCAGGTGACACCAACATTTTTACTAAAATAGAGAAACTGAAGAGAAGATGCTCCCACATGTGTTCTGCCCATGCTGCTTTATACTTTTTAATAAATAAAATAAATGTTTTCAAAAACATCATATGTATTGTACTGGAGGCATAGTCTATATTAAGGAGATATAACTGTGAAACAAGTAGATTTCTGATGTTCAGGTGGGACACACCAAAATTGTTTTCAACAGGGGGTACGGATAATGTGTGCAGTATTTTGGTTTCCTTTTAAGTATTATTAATGTCACTCTTCACACATTGGCTTATTTGTTTTTTTGACATTTTGCTTTAAATGATATTTAAAGATGTGATGGGACATTAATTACCCTCCATTTAATTTAGTGGCTCACCGTGACATTAGGGCAGAGAGTTGATACAGATCAGGTGGTCCAATGCAAGTTAGGCTTTCAAAGATGTTTACTAATCCACAGCTGAGTGAGTCACTTTCTGGTTTTATTGTATTTTTTTGGCTTCATGTGGCAAAAGCACACATTTAGAGACATATGTGTATGTTGCAATGGATTTTTACTTCAGAATAAAACTTCTATTAGACATATTTACATCCATATTTTCTCTTGTTTCAATGTTAAAGCAATAATTTCTAATTGTTAAAACTCAATCAATCAGAGTTAGCTGATTTAAAGCTGTATTTTCTGTATTATTTTGGCCACTTTTAGGCAGAACTCCACAACTAGCTGAACATCACATACATTTAAATAAGTTGTTCTGGTTAATATGTTAGCGTACAGTTTCCCTTTTACACATCCAGCAGAGACAGCGCAACATTAGCATTCATTTGAAATCATGTCTGTGTCCACCTGATGAATCTAAGTCCAATAATCAATATCCTTTTAGCTCTGTGTTTGGTCTCCACCAGCTCCTGAGGGAAATATCTGGCTCCTCAGCTGCTGCATGTTGCTCTATGTTCACCAGCTGCTCTCTGACTGTGTCTGTCAGGTAGAGGACAGGGGGTTTATCACAACTTTTTGCTGCAGTTTTAACAAACTCAACTCAACCTGAACTCTGAGTTGAACTCAGAGTTTTGGTTTCCAGACCAGCTGATCAGAGTTAGTTCAGTCAGCTGTGTTCACTCTGAGTTAACTGTGTTTGTGTGGAAGCCATCATCAATAAGCTCCTATACTACAATTCACCATGGCAACAGGAAAATAAAGAGTAGAGCTTCCAGTTAATCATATTTTAACATAATTTTAATTGTTCCTCGTCAACATCTGTCTCCAGAGGTGGAGAGAAACACCAGTGTTAACTTCTGTGGTGGGGATGGTGGTGGGGGTCACTTGCTAACAGCTTCAGCCATTTTCATGTTTATTGTTACATTCATTGACTTAGAGCAGGGGTATTCATTCAAGTTCAAATAGGTCCAGTTAGGCAAAATTTCCCCAAGCAATAATAATTCTCAATAATAATTATGTTCTTTTATTATTTCAAGGGAAATAACGGCTGTAATAAGTAATAACTACATAACAGCTTTTGAAAAATAATAATGAAGAGCTTAATTTTACAAAATGATATAAAAAGTTGTAGTTTGACTTTCCATTTCTCTTCTTTATGTTTAACTCAAACAGTTAAAAAATAAATAAATAAATAAATAAAAAGCCCCATGGCACATCTTAACAACTGAACAGCTTTAACACATCCTTTTCTTTTTCTTTACCTCTTCTATCTCACTTTCTCCACTTATTTCTCTGGCGGCGTCTCTCTCCTGTGTGTGTGTGTGTGTGTGTGTATCTCACTCACTATAAGAATGATTGGCTGAGTAACGTCATGTGACCAGTGCCATAAAGGCTAGAAAAGCAGTGCCATTTAAAATAGAAATGCTCCTTCATTTAACAGTTCTCTATAACTTGTAGGTTATAAGTCCGGGTCCAGATAGTGACCTTTGACCCAGAAGGTAGAGCACGCCCTCTGGGCAGCGCTGCTTCTTCATCTTCTCAGTTGGACTGAGGGCAGACTGGTTGCTACAGTGACTCACTATCACCTCTTGATGTACAAAGTGGTATTATAAGATGGGACTGGGCTAGCTGGTTAGCATGCTAGACGTGGACGTGTTTGAGTAAAACTTTTATTTCTGTACATTCTGTTGATCATTTAAGTTATTTTTTGAATATTTTTTAAACTAAATGACACATTCACCCATTAAGCTGTTCCAACATGGAGCCAGATTGACCATCCACCAAGTTCCACAACATGAAGATGACCTGGTGCTCAGTGGGTGGTCACAGATTCCCTCCTATTTATAGCCTGTTATTGGTGAAAGTGTCCTGGTTTCTCAGGGTCATTACTGGATCTGGACTGAATTCAAAAGCCAATACTGAGGCCCAGCAGGTTTCATCAGATGGGTTAACAATCAATCAGCTGCTCAACTCACTAGATTTAGTTTATACAGATCTTTTATCTGGGGCCGTGAATAACATGTGAATTCATGTGTTTTTCTTTAAGTCAGATTTTCTCCATAAGAATCTTTATAGAAGGTGAGAAACCTGTCTGATCAACACGGTCAGCAGCTGCAGCGGAGGATATTAAGGTACTTTAAAAATACTTAGCACTCGATTGCTGCAATTTGCATAAAAATCAAACTCCCTCTTGGCATCATGACTCAGGCAAATCTGAACACAGGCACGATACGCATAGTTTTATATTCACTGTGATATCATAATGTCTGATGTCTGTTAATCCACTTAGAAAACATAGAAAAAAAGATTCAATTTAACTCCAGAACCTGCCTGAGAATCATCAGGTTTTAAGTTTTCTTCTGTATAATCCAGTAACAGCGGACTGTGCATCACATGGGAGCTAATAATGGGAAAAGCTAATTTGAGTTGTAGGAGGTCTCAGTGTCAGACTTTGAAAGACCCTATTGAAGAATGTAAAGCAGTGTGTGGTTTTCTGAAGTTAAATTAATTCACTGAAGCTGTTTTTGTATCCAGGTTTTATTAAAATCTGATTTGAAGGGGAACTAAGGGCCTTTTAACCCTGGACCTTATTTTCCCCTTATTGCCATCATAAAGGTTTAAAATGCTTCCTTCAGTGTAGAACTGAAAGCTGTCCACTACGGACACGGAGTTCACGGGGGGAACCCAAAAAGTGTAAGTCGATGAGCTTTGCCAAAACACCATCTCATCAGCTTTATGGTCATTATCTTATTCCTGTGCCTCTTATAAAGACTCACTTTGTTCCTGCTAATCTTTTTGTTCTTTTTATGCCAATGTTCCTCTTAACTGCTCAGAGTAATCAATGTCACTGTAAAACACTGCAGTGATGTCAGGTGGTGCAGAGATAATAACACATAAGGAGAACACTTGTGTCTTGAGGGACAGGTGTGTCTGAGAAGACAAAACACAGACAGGATGTTACACACTCTCTAAACCTTTCATCCAGTTCGCTGACACACACAGATGAATTTTTACTTAGAAAAGATTCTACTGAGAGAAATTTGTTTTCCTCTTTTCCTGTGTTTTATTTGAAGTGTTGATCCATAAGAAGATATATTTGAAGTTTTAAGAACCAAAAATCAGGTTGGTGAGCCAATCAGAAGAAAGGAGGCTCTCAGCCTCTCTTCTCTCTGCTTTGTAGTGACATCACAAAGTTCCAGAAGTCCTGATGGCTGGCTGTTTTCTGAGTGATCCAATAAAAATATAGAAGTATTGCAGGTAAACGCTCAGAGAAACCAAATCCTGCCAGGTTGGTTGTTGGGTCCAGGTGGGCGTGGCTTGGGGCGTGGCTGAGAGTGGTGACTACTTTGTTGTGACATCACAAAGTTCCAGAAGTCCTGACGGCTGGTTTTAAGGCTCAGTTTCTGAATACAGGCTGTGTGCATTTCTCTGTGGAGTAGTATAGTATAGTACAGTATTAATATAGAACTTAGACTTGCTTAATTATCAAACCAGGTGTGAGACCTTCATTATTTCAGTTTGTGTTGCATGTTCCTAAATTCATAGGTCTGTTTAAACAAACTAGGAAAAGATGAACCCAAATGCAGACAACACAAAAAGGGGGTTGGTGGTGAAAAAGTCTTTTAACTTACTTACATAACTCAAAATCCAAAATGGAGACAAAACGCAAGAACAAAAACTGAAACATGGTAAGAATAGCAGGAGCAAAACACGAGCAAAAACCAGAAAATCCAAAAATTGGAAACACAGGACCACTAGCAGGAAACTTTTACACAGGAAAACAGAGCAAAACAGATGAACTGACAAAGACGACAGGGAGCACAGACACTAAATACACACAAGGGAGGCAAGGATGATTGAACACAGGTCAAACGCATTAAGGTGGGGCAGACAATCACAAAGGAGGGAAACAGGACAAAGACAGGAAGTAAAATATCCACAAGACACACAAGGGAAGTTATTTCAAAAATGAAAACAGGAAAACAACCAAAAGTCCAAAAGTCAACTGAAATACTCCTGTGAGGGTAAACCATGACAACCTGAAGCCTGAAGTACTACTCTTCAGTCATTTTAAAGTCTGTCCACAGCTTTACATTCAGGTATTCAACTGTTACATTAGCAGTAAAATGCATCAGATACAAGATACAATGCAACAAATACAGCACACTGCAAATCACCCTTTAAATCAGTGTACAGTCATATCTGTATCTTCTGCAGCCAGAGGAATCAGTGTACATCTCTTCTCATCTACATATTTACTCACAAACTTGTTTTGCTCAGATTTCACTTTAATTACTTTCATATTCATCATCTTGTCAGGCAAATTACGTCCGTGTGATGCAGCCGACGCTACAATGAGGCGAGTAGAGACATCTTCTAGAGATGTTTGAAGTTCTGTTTGTAGTTCAGCTCGAGTCCAAAATCTTCAAAAAAGATGTTGGAAACTTATGAATTATTTCTTAGACACTTCATGAGTCCTATTTCAGTTTTACAGCTCCCTGTAATGAACACTGAGCACACACCAACCTGCAAGCTCGTTTAGATCAGGAATGATTGCACATCACACAGCTCTATTTACACATTGTCAACATCTCAGCAGCCTGTAGCATGGTGTTTCATCTTATGAAAGAGTATTAGGAAAAAAAACATGAGGTGACGGATTAAGATGTAACTAGTTTACCAGATTCAGATTGTGGGTCAGACTTTTTCAAGGACAGATCGGAGAACAGAGAAAGAATTATGTTAGAAAAGAAGCAGATTGAGAAGTTTCATTTAAACACTGTGTCAGTGAAAACGAAGGAAATGATAACCTGTCAACAACACTGCATCTTAAATAGCATCATTACTTCCTTGAAGTCCAGATCCCTGGTCAGTGAAGAGTCGACTGGAGGTGTGTTTGTCATGGGGAGAAGGGTGGTGCAGTTAATAGATGATGCATAAAGGAGGGACTTGACTGACCGGTGCAGCCTGTTGCATCAGCCCAGCATAACTTTTTTATATTCTGCATATATTGGCTCAGAGAAACTCAACAAATTGAGTCTCTAGTTGAACGGGATGTTTTCCACCATGTGTCATAGGAGAGCATCAGCACAGCAACAGATCTTTGCGCTCTCTGAGGCTCTGCCATTGAAGCTACTTACCACAGCACTCAGTCTCCTTTACTCACTGAAATCACAAACTGTAGGAGCAGTGGGAATACTGTGGGCCAAAATATTAAAACCAGTGAAACCAGTGATATTGCAGGAACAGACGCTGATATCAATGAACTTATTTGTGTTTAGTTTCACTTCACACTGAACAGAAACAGACAATAGTAACTGAAGGTAATAACCCTTCAGCAGTGTTTTCTTAAAGGTCCCATATAGTATAAAGGTATTGTTTGATTATAGATCAGGTCTAGGTTCTACATTAATACTGTAAAACTATCAAAGTGCTCAGTCCTCAGAGAAATGCACACAGCCTGTATTCAGAAACTGAGCCATAAAACCAGATGTCAGGACTTCTGGAACTTTGTGATGTCACAACAAAGCAGAGAGAAGAGAGGCTCAGAGCCTCCTATCTTCTGATTGGCTCAGTGACCTGTTGTTACTAGGGCTCCAGAGAGAAGCCTGAGAGAGGAGATGTAAAACTATATTGAATTTCATTCAGTAGATAGATGTTATTGTTGCCATGATGATGATGGTCCAGTATGCCTGCTGCTGGTACACTCCTCTGGGTTGTATTTAGGAATCGACCAATATGTTTTTTTCAGGGCCGATACCGAAACCGATTACCGGTAATCAAGGAGACCAGTAACAGATATTTGGAACCGATATGTATGTATAAGGACACTCACTGTGGCGTGCAGGTGTTGCTATCATGTTGTCCACCCCGTTTATATCAAGGAAAATGAGCTAAATAACAACACACCTCTGTATAATGTAATACTGCTACACACACTACATCCTCCATAATGATCATACAGTTGAATCAACAACTGTCTTAAACTATTTTATTGCAAACTGAACATTATAACCTTCATGAACCATCATCAATTATTCAACCATTCATAACATCATGTGAATGAAATATAAACTTTTGGCATCAACTGTGCACAATATGAACTCATCCTCTGTACCATTCTTCAGCTGGTGAAGAAGAAGAGTCTTAATGCTGATAAGACTCAGCAGAAGATCCAAGCCACTTAATTTACACGTCAACCTGAAATTTTGCTAATAATCCTTTTATCCTTAAACGCACAGTCTGTAACTTCTGTCTCTAGAGTTCTCTCAATCAAAACAATAAGAAATGACATCGGTGGGTCACGTCATGAAATAGCGTGGAATCATGGAAGTTGTTGACTTCACCAGCATTACCGTAAGCTCCTGCTGATTTGGATTCTGTCAGTGTCAGTGGTTCCGGTGATTAAAAACACTGAATAAAGCAGCTTCACATTTAAAGTCAGTGTTTGAGCGACGCTGTACGGAGGACAGAGACTCAGGGAAGAGTTGGAGCTGAGATTGATGCTAACCTTTGTTTGGATTGTTTCTCTACATAATTTAAACCAGTAGAAACACCCATGAAGCAGTTTCACTTTAAAAATCAGTCATTTGGGGCAGCTCACCTGTTAGAGCAACTACCACAAAGGCTTAGTTCTACCTGCAGCAGTTCCAGTGGCCCATGGCCCACATGTTAGCCTCTCTCTCTCTCTCTTTCTCTCTCTCTCTCTCTCTCTCTCTCTCTCTCTCTCCCTGACTTTCCTGTCCCTCTCACTGTAGCTACCTGGATGCCAAAAAATGACAAAAACCCCAAAAGAAACCAAGATGTAAAAAGTGTATGTGGCTTAAAACTAGAGAAAAGTCAATGTTGAACTTCTGTCATACAAACACAACACTGACACATGATCATAGAGGATATGATGTCACTGACAGGCAACCAATGACACAGAGCGTTACCATGAATAAAATTCACAGATTTCTCTGGTTTGGGAATTGATGGAAACATTTGGGATAATGTAAGAACACAACTCAACAACATATCCAACATAATTCTAGTTGTTTTTAGACATTTTAATGTGGAAAGGTTACAGATTATAACTTTAATGTCCTTGAAAGCACCACTGTCATCATTCATCCATAGTGCCAGCTGATGGCCGTGGACTGGTGCACTATGTTCAGCATGCTTATCACACCACATGACAGGAATAATATCACTCACGATAATAATATACAGAACATATTTGTGTTGAAGTGTTCTTAGTGAACATGTGCAGCACCATGACTGTTCTCACCGTGTGTCTCTCTCTTGTTGTCTTTCTCTTGTTGAACAGGGTGACAGTAACAGCAGCCTGTAACATGGACTTCAGCCGCTTCCCTCTGGATTCTCAGACCTGCTCACTGGAGCTGGAGAGCTGTGAGTACATGTTTCACATCTGGAAAACCATGAAGAACAAAATTAGAACATGTGTCACATTCAAGCATCAACCTCCAGGGTTGAAAAGTGAAGCCAACTACGCACTTCCTCTAACGACCACTAGAGTCTGGCTCCAACAGTGAGTCAATCCCCATAGACTCCCATGTTAAAATGTCCAACTTTACAGCAGAAATAAACATGTTTACAGCCTGGTACAAAAACTGTTTTGGTCTCTAAAGCTAATTTCCTCCTTCATGACAACTGTATATAACTCACCTATTTACATTTTATTAAAGCTTAAAGTTATGGAGAATTAAGGGCGTGGCCACTTTGAGTGACAGGTGGGTGAGCGTAGGCTTGCCACAAACTGGCATGAACCAAAGTCTCAGTTCCACAAACTCTAGGGATTTTTGGATTAGCTGGGAGTTAGGGGCAGGGTCAGACACTGCCAAGATGGCGACGGAGGAGCAGCTCACTCTGAGCTTCACCACTGCTCTTCAGGAACCTGTGGGTGACATCATTGAGGCTACATTCATGTTTATTTACAGTCTATGGTCAAATTATCACATTGTTGTAATAGATACTGTAGGTCAAACATTTGATTAATTCAAGGAAAAACTCAATACAATACAAAACCATACAAAATCAGAACACACAAAACCCCCATGACAGCAAAGATCGATGCGAGCAGATCACAAGCCCTAAAAAAAAAACAAGGCGTTCGACATACACGTTACATAGGAAGACTTGATACAGAGATCTTACAGCTGGGACACATTACACAGATCAGGGAGCTAATGCCAGACATTAAGACACCCAGGAGACAACATTAGAAATTCATTGGGACACTGGTAGGACACCAGGCCACAGAGCAGTGTCCTCCGAGTACCAGTCTGCTGTGCACTTACGGCAACCAGTCCTCCAACCTGAACAACCATACAGGTCATTTGTTCCAACCGTCTGATACGACCAAATGGAAGCTGCCAGGCTTACTTCAGGCACACACACAACCAAGGATATAGTTAAAATGTCATTATTGTGTTGGGACACATCAGAGTAAAACATATCACAAAATAGCCCCAAGAAACGCTGATCAGTTGCAACCACCACAGGGTTTTCCTCAGGGCGTGGTTGGAAACAGAAATGAACTAGAGGGGAGCATTGTGATTTCTTATATAGACAGAGCACCGGCAATAAAAGGATACCAACCATTTTTAAACAATAAAGAGAGGGACTGACAGTTTATAAGAAAGGTCTTCAATCTATTTCCTCATTCAGACCTGGAAACACAGAAGCATCAAATGTAAAAATCCAATAAGTCTCTCTGAAGTCAATTATTGAGACGATCACCTCCTCTAATGGACTGCTACACGAGCTCAGTACTCTCTACTTTCAAAAGGCTGTTGTTGATGTTATGCCAAATATGGAAGTGGCGTGCCATAGGGTAATCAATGTTATTAGTTTTTATGGCATATTTGTGTTTTGCTATTCTGTCTTTCGAGCGCCTCTTAGTGCGTCCGATGTAAAAGCAGCCACAAGGACAGGTGAGGCGGTACACAGCATATGTGGAACTGCAATTAATGAAGTGCTTATTTTTATGTATCTCTCTTGTCTTTAAATTTGCAAATTCCTTCTGCTGTATAATGTTGGAATGGTGATTACAAGTGGTTTGCATGCACATTAAAGTCCCAGTAGGTCTCTTGAGCCAGTGGTCTCCTCTCCTATATGGAAGGTAACTGTGTGTGACTCTAGCCTTAATGGTGAGGGCCAGTTTATAACTGAAGTTGGGAGGAAGTTGGACGATTTCCCTCAGGGAGGGGTCACTCCCAAGGATACAACCCACAGGAGTATCTCCTGATATAGCGCCCCATGGTGGCAGGTGTACTGGACCTTCATTGCCATGGTAACAATAATAAACATGCAGCTAACAAAAGATGGCGGTTTAGGTTACAATAACTACCTCGGTATCACTTTACAATAAGACTATCCCTACAAAGGATTTATAAATGTTTATAAGTAGTTTATTAATTCAGTTGTTAACACTTTTTATAAATAAACAATTATAAACAAGTTTTCACATTTCCCTTTGCGCCCATCATAATTACTACGACCACTAAATGTCGTCTAGCAACAAACGCTTACTCAGGGTCATAATAACCTGCTACACAGACGACCTATGGGCTCATTTTTTAGAGGAAGAGATCATTACCAAGGTAGTTTGTAAAAGGCCCATAGCTCATGAAAAGTTCTCTCATTCCCCGTCAAGACTGAGCTCAAGCTCTAGATTTCTCCATCCCACTGGTTAACAGTAGGAGGTCTGATCTTAATCCATCCTAACTCTGTAAATCTTCCTGCTAATAGAAGTAGCTTGTTCATAAAGTGCCAACTGAAACTGAAAGACTCAGCAGAAACGAACCAGGATTCATTTGTATTTCCTTCAGAAAAATAGAGAGTTGAGCTCCTGTGAGACTTCCTCCCAGAAGAGGGCAGTGCCAGATGCAATGTATGTGAGACCTTACCTCTTTCTTACACTTGACACAGAGGGGAGAAAACCCAGGATAAAGGTAACAGGATGTGTGCTGCAGGATCCTGCACTGACTCTGTTAGCCTCCCTCTGTATCAGACCATTACTCCTCCACAAACCCAGTCCCCAGCTCCCTCTCTCATACGCCTTTAATGCCGTCAGCGTTGAATGTGTTAAGAGACTGTCGTCTTCCATAAAGGTGGGACATGAATTTTTTATTGAGACAAAACTGAGCAGAAGATATGAGCTTCAGGAAAATTTATATTGTTGGTGAAATGCCTAATCTGTGAAATCTGCTCCCACTCATTCCAGAGGGAAAGGCTTTGTTTTGTGTAATGAGGAACACTTCCTTCCAGTGAATGTCACGGTATGTTTCAAGGTTTCGATCATGAGAGTTAACTTTATTTTTAAGACCCTGAAATCTTTTATTTTGGAACTTTATATACAGAGACTTACATGTTTATCAAGTGACCTAAAAATGAAGATTGACTATAAGTACAAAAATCACAAACAAAAACTGAAGAAAGAGAGCAAAGGCAGAGGTGCAGGAGAGGCAGCCAGGCAAACATTTTGGGCCCCCAAGGAGAAAAGGGGCCCAAAATGGCCCCGTAAACCTCCTATAAAGACAGTATACAGTGCACTGCTGTTCAGACATAGTATCACAGCACGCTGTATCAGTGCTTCACTGCAACATGCCAATCATCATATGACCATCAAGCAAGACCTCATTATGTCACAAGTGTTACCAGGGACATGTCACATGTGTATACACAGACAGTTCTGACTGTCTTACTGTTTAAAAGAGGTAAAAGGCCTTGTGGGCAATCTGAGGTGGAGACAGAAACCAGTCTTAAGTCGGATACATGGAACAATCACTTCCACAGGTTTCCTGATAAACAATCATAAATTAAGTGGTAGTGCTAGTGTTTATTTAATTCACTAACCTCTAGTCATTGTTTCCGTCCATAAGAACGAGATTCTACTCAAGCTGTTCACTGAGTTCACTGGGTTCTTCCCTGACACAGGTGAAAACAGAACCTCCTGGTGGAGGTAATGACAAAGAAATAAAATAACTGAAAAACTATTGCTTTAAAGTAGGGGTGACGGTTGCAACAAGTCTTGTTCCTCCAATTAGAAACATGCTAGAGTGATGACACTCATACTGCACATGCTCAGTTAGACCCTCCCCCACCAGGAGACAGAGGACACATTCAACATCTGCTGCATTTCTTAGTTTCTTAATGAAACTTGTTTTGGAGGAATTAAAGAAATTTTTTCATGAGCTGTTTTTCTGTCAAACTGTCCTGAATAAAATAGATAGATAGTGCCTATTATGACTGAGGGTCGGTTCTATGCAAAAAATAAAACTGTTCTTTGATAAATATAACGAAATAAACTAAACTAAAACTAAAAACTAAACATAAATAAATAATGCTACAATATTATCGTATAAATGAACAATACTATAATGTAAAACAATGCATATTTCCAGAATACTATGCTTATTGAGTTAAAAAGCAAAAGTTAATTAGTGAAATGGTATGTATTTTTAATATGTTGCAACTGATCCCAACCCTCAGGACATCTGAAATCTTCCGTTCAAGAAATATTGGGAATGATATGTCAAATTGAATCATCTGTAAAAGTCCTTGCAGAAAAACAACATGGATTTCAAATGTGCAAAATCACATGTGACCACATTTACATGTGATTTTTACACATGTTAAATTCAACATGTGAAAACATGTTTAAAATACCATGTGAAAAGTGTGGAACACGTACTGGCTCATGGGAAATGTGGTTTTGGAACATTTCCATGGTGTAATGTGTGAAGCCCATGTAAATTCCCATGTGAACCCTATTGCACCATGATTACCACATAGTTTGTTGTTGTTTGTTTGCATGTTTGTCAGTACTCACATTACTGCACTAGTTGAAAATGTTACGGTGAAACTTCTGCAGTGGATTTGTGGCATGTTACAAATGTGGTATCATGTTTTCCACGTGTTCTCCACACATGTGATCAAATGTAGGAAACTTTTAAGAAAACATTTAAATTCATGTGTTTTTTTCTGTAAGGGTGGTATGGGTAATTAGCTACACTTTGGTTGGTCTCTTAGTAACTGAGAGAAGAGCACAGTGTTGCATCCGTCCCTAGTCTGCTTTAGCTCAGTGTCTCAAAACAGCTGTGGCTCCATTGTACTGCCTCAGTGCTGAGGTGTTTTCAGGTGACACACCTGAGCCATCAGGGGAAGGAGGGGTGGGCTGTACCTGAACAGAGACTGAGTGAGTGAGAGGGACTACAGTTCAATTTTTATTTTTGAGGCATCAAAGACATTCAGAGGAAGGGCCCGGCACACACCAGGGGCCATTCACAAAGCGTCCCCATACATTTCAGATGAAAGGTGCCCGCTCTGCTGTTTCATTACCCAACCGTGAACTGTGAACAGCTTCTAACATCAACAGTTAGGGGAAAGACATTAGGCCACTTGGGGTTGCAACCAGACACAATTCAGAGACTAACTAAAGATAGAAGTTTTTCTACAAAGCCTCCAAATGTTCAGACCTGCTCAGGGCTTCTAGAAAGTTTAGTTTAGGATCCTTAATCAACCAGCCCACAACCTGACTGTGCTGTGTGTGGATGAAACCATGACGCTGTCCGTGGTGCTGAAGTAACAGACGGATTTATACAAACTCCTCATCTCATATTAAATTGTCCCTAAAGTAAATATGAAGAGCTCTCAGGTCCTTTTAAGAGACATATTGTAGCAATGTTCAGAGCAACCTCGGTTTCCTGAAGAAGTGAAGTAGTCATTAGAGCCAAATGTTGCTTAGCGATCTTCCACTACTATGGAAAAGCGGTGGAATGTATACGGGCGTCGTAGCTGTCACTTCAACTGTCGCTTAAGCCTGTGGGAGGTATACGCTTCCAAATTTCACGTTGTCTTTAGAGCGTCATTACTCCTCAACTGTTTCAGCTAGAGACGTGCAGTTTTTTTCTCCTTAAACTATAGAACTGTTTTTATCAACCACCTGTTCGTCCGTGTGAGTCACTGACTTTGATCGAGACACTAACATTCAAAGTTATGAAATATTTTAGAGTTTGTCTGGCACATTCCTGCTTTCTGTCTGTGTGTTTATTGATCGATTCTCATCCGGATTCTTTGCCAGTCACGCTTAGAGTCACATCACTCAATATTCCTCCTATCGGCTCCAGTGGGACCTGTCACAGCCAATCAGAGTGTCTGATTCCGAGGTTTGGCCTGCCTTGGCTGTATACCCAGATTAAATGAGATCGGCGTGAAGAGAAGTTGTTCTAAGTTTATTGAAGTGACAGAAACAGACAGCAGGATGTGAGCAGTCAGATATTTAGTGCAGCAGAGGATTTGGAGCTGATTTTTCAAGGAGCAGATAAAAAATGCCCATAACTACTGCTCCAGAGAATGAGCGTATCTCATGAACAGATAAAGATACAAACTTCAAATCACCCCTACAACAATCCAGACAAATGTGTGCAACTTTCTGTGTTGAAGATTTCCCTCCTTGTTATGGTTTACAGTGTTTTTATCTATAAGATAAGGAAAAATTCTGTCTTATTGTGGGCCTAAGAGGCTTTTAAAGTCCCTTACATAAATAGCCTGTTTGTTGTCAGTTGTTTGTTGGTCAGTCCCAAATTTCTGTCTTCTGCGTTGCTGTGTATCTGGATCACGCTCTTGATTCGAAGCTGTGTTGATCATGACTCTGTGTGATGTCTGGCAGACGCCTACACAGATGAAGACCTGATGCTGTACTGGAAGAGCGGCGACGAGTCCCTCAGCACTGACGACCGCATCTCCTTATCACAGTTCCTGATCCAGAAGTTCCACACCACGTCTCGCCTGGCCTTCTACAGCAGCACAGGTACGCACACCTGTTACTTGAGATGAAATCATTCATAATGCTATACATTGCTCTTGTGTACAACATCATGATTTGAGTGGCAAACGAATCACGTGTTCTTTTAAGGACAGGCCACAGTCACTGAGCATAGATAGAGGGGGAAAACAGGGACAGACAAATGTTAATGACTCTGCGACATTTCCACCGTAGAGGACTGAAATTGCCTAAATTGAAAATAGATAATAAATCCTGTAGCTCAACCGTTGAGATGAGTGCTTCAAAATAAAAACTGAATTTGAGGTTTTGTGCCAGTTATATGGAAGAAAAGTGGCACAGCTTTGAAAGCTTTAAAAACATGACTAGATTGTATTTGGGTGATCTAGTTTGAGGGTGCTTGGTGGGGGAGAGGAGGTGGGGAGGGAGGGAGGATCGATAGAGGAGACAGGAGCAAGTCTGCATTAGGAGGAGGTCGGGGTGAACGGAGGGTTCGACAAAACACAGGACTGCCACACAGCAGTGGGTGGAACATCGCAATATTTCCCACCTCATGTAATATTTTTCAGAATATCTAAACTCGTTTTTTGCGGTCTGTCCTGCTGCTGAGTCCGACCCTCATGTCACTGCTTTGGTTACTGTACATAGAACACTGCCATGTGACGAATAAAACTTTGAACTGTTGTTCAGTGACAGCATCCCTTAAACCTGAAACATAAAATACAACAATATAATTATGTATTATAAAAAAAATCCAGATAATACAGTATAATATTTAGGCTTAACCTGATAGGTAAGAAGAACAAATTCATATAGAGCAGTGGTCAGCAACTCAGAAAACCTACAATTCTTACAATATCTTACAATATTGGACTGACAGTACCACATTTAGTCATAATGTCCAAATATCCATATAATATATATATAATCCATGTATATAATATAATATCATGATAATATAATAATCCATGTTGAGAGTGAATGTTTGCTTGACCTCTGAAATAGCAGACATATGATGTGTTGTATATAAAATAACCACACAGACGTATAATATGTGACTGTGGGACACAGAGCCAATCAGTAACAAAGGAAACTTATTAAATTAGTTTTTGATTATGTTCCATCCACCATGTAGTGGATTAGAAACCTGATGTAGAGTTTGATAGTTTCGGTCACAGACTTTGCTCCATGCAGTGTCTTTTATGGACTAAAGGACTTTGTTTCTTCATTACCTCGATCACGTGTGTAAACACCTGAATCACATACTATACTAATAGTAAGGAATTTACGTACTCTGTGTCTGCTAATAAAATATGATGTAAAATATTAACAGCGTATTGTGTAACCCGAGTCTAAACGAGCTTCTGTCTCGCTGTGTTCACAGGCTGGTACAATCGTCTCTACATCAACTTCACGTTGCGACGCCACATCTTCTTTTTCTTGCTGCAGACGTACTTTCCTGCCACCCTCATGGTGATGCTTTCATGGGTGTCGTTCTGGATCGACCGCCGGGCTGTGCCGGCCAGAGTCTCCCTGGGTAAAAAAAAAAAAAAAAACACAACCCATTTGAAATGTCCTTTGAAGAGATTGTGCCTGAGGAAAATCTTTCTGTGTGAAATGATGAAAGCTGGCTGTGACATGGCTCCACCAGCTGGGAACACACACATGCATGTGTGAATACACAAACCTCCCACACTCCACCACTCTTACTTTTCTTCTGATTTATTTTCTGTGTTGAGGCTGTTGCAGCACTTGTCATGCAGACGTCTGGTTTCTCGCTGAGGTCCTCTCACGGCTCGTCTCATTGCTCTTATTACATTCAGCTGATATGATGGGATGATTTTACAAAACCCTCTGACAGGTTGTTATTCCTCAACTACAGAGTGTGTGCTGGTTCTCTTCTTCTCTGTGAACACATATATAGGGATGTTCCAACACTGTTTTTCCTTGAGTATCGACTGATATGGATTACTGATCCGATATCGTTGCATTAAAATAATATTTTAACAGTTATATATACATAGATATGCATGTGATATGATCGCTATGATGTGTGGCATGGCACAGGTTAAACCCTTTGTAAAACATGAACAGATACATGAATGTCATAGAATCTCTTTTATCATCTAATTTGACAGTCAGTCATAAAATAATAAATCTAGGAATAAATAACACTTCCTACTCTACCTGTAAAACGAGTGCTGCCCCTCCAGATTAAAGGCTTGATCATGTTGTTTTACTGGTGGGACTTTCCTGTGTAACATTTTGCCAAATTGCTGATGTTCTGCTAACGGCTAACATTACACAATTTACCAGGAATCAGTTCTTCTTCACTGCTCTATAACAGTAGCTGCCAGTAGCCGCACAGTGCAATTTGCTCCATTTTAGAGTGATGAAGAAGAATAGACTTCGGGTGTGAAACTATGAAGTTTACTTTTTTTTAAAACATTGTGTCAGATTGGTGCATAGACTCACAAACTTGCCGATACGATACCGGATTTTCGGCAGAGGCTTTTCTGATACTGGTACTGGAACAACTCTAATTTTGTACAATTATATATCATTATTATCATTATTATTATTAATTTGATCTTTATTTAATCAGACGGTCTTATTGAAATTAAAATCTCTTTTTCAAGAGAGAGACCTGAGAAGAGGGAGTCACGTGAGACGATCAACAACAAAGACAATAGAGCTACACAACACAAGAAGCAAAGAATCAACAAAAACATTTATAATAGCCATACAATACATCAAATAATAAAGATTTAAAATCTCCAAGGGGAAATATAAGACTCTAGTTTGAGGACAGTTTGCAGTTCATTCCATTTATATGGTGCATATAACCTGAAAGCAGTTCTGCCAACTGTGTGAACACACTAGTGTGAACATGAGGGATATCATGGGTTCAGTAGTGACTGGATCGTCTTCTGTGAAAAGATTTGAGGTCGTATGGAAGCTTTTACAGTAGAGTTTTATGAATAAATAACATGAGATGACTGTTTCTTGCTGACTGTAGTGAGGTCTAACCCACAGTGTGGCACAGAGAACAATGATGAGTACGGTACTTGTCATTTGTGATAAAGTGTAATACACTGTGATACACAGGGTTTAACTGCTGCAGTGTTGATGGTGCAGCATGACAATACAGAATGTAATCATAGTCAAGGACAGATAGACAGACACTTATATACATATACAGTATATATATATATATATATATATATATAACTGCTCCAAATTATTACCAAATGAGTTCACAGTAAAAACTGAAGCAAAAACAGCTCCACTGATTTTCTTCACTTCTTTTTACATATAGTATCATCTTTCTGCAATAATGTGATTTAACATGAAAAACCAAGTCAAGGTGTTAAAAAAGAAACCCAATTTCCTCAGTGAAATGTCCCTGCAGAAAAGGTGAAATATCACAGGTACAGCAGTGCAGGATGGGATGGAAATATAGATGCCAATAGATCATCATATATAGAGATGATTCGTGGTACTGAAAAGAATTCAGTTCAAAGTAAATTAAAGTGTATCTGTTGCACTATTGTCAGGAAAACACACACACACACACACACACACACGCACACGCACACACACACACACACACACACACACACACACACACACACAGCCTGGTTTCTCCAGTAACCTAAATAAAGCACATTTCAACCTCGTGAGTGTGGAAGTTGTAGAGTAAAAACACTTTTCCAGTTCCACTTTCTTATGAGGAGTTTCTGAGCTGTAACTAACGGCTTCACAGATTATTTATAAACCATCAATGTGAAAATCTCTGGTGTTCATCCTCCTCCAACATGTCACTTCCTCTTTAACTGACTGACCTTCAGGACGCTTCTCAACCAAAATGAATTTATGATCTTTACTTGAGATTATTGACATAACTGGTGACTTATTAAAAAAAATTGACCCATTAACCTTCATCAGTGAAGATGTGAAAGAGTCTGGCATCCTAGAAGTTTTTATCATTAAGTCCTATTAATGGTTTATAACTGAATAATCCATAATGGACAGCTTCAAGTTCCCACACAGTGTGGGTGTATGGAAGAGGCCTTAAATGTTTCTGTATTATGTCACACATAGACTGTCACTGACTGTGTGGAGGCAGAATTAGATAAAAAAAAACGACTGGAGTTCTGTTTCTAAGAGTTTCTGCTGCTGTCTGTTGAAAGGCTGCAGCACACTGACTGATTCACAAGCTGTAAAGGAGAAGTCTGGTGATCTTCTAAATTCTTACAGTCAACAAATGTACCTCACTAACAAGCACCGTGTGTGTATCCAGAGCCTGATACTGTATCTTATTCCTCTTCCAGTGTTGTTGTTAAAAACAGACTGCTGCAATATGATCCTGCACGACTTGAATGATGCGTGTGGCACTGTGATGAGGTTGTTTACATTTCACCCCGAGAAGTGGAGTATCATCTCCACATGAAATCTAATATACTCCAAGAGGATGATGCCACAAGTGTCGAGTATTTTCTTAGAGCTGAATGTAAACCTGTGTGGACAAACATGGCGCACTGTAATCAGCTTAAACCTGAGCATAAAGATTCATTCTTGACCCTAAATCGAATCATTGAACTTCACACATGGTCCGCTGGAGCTTTCAACTTTTATTACTTTTTACTACACTACATGTATTGTATTAGATTAGATAAAAACAAATAAAGTGCGATTTATTATTACAGACCAAACTACCGTATTTATAACTGTCCACAAGTTTACCTGCTGCAGCACAAAAGTGATTAATGTAACAATAATTATGATCTAGAATCCAATAACAAGTACTCTTGCTGTAGTTACTTGAGGTAAAATGTAAATGCATGACTTGATTTCTACACTGTGGTATATTTCCTCCACCTCCTATGACTCCTCCTCACCTGTAGATCTCTGACTGCTGCAGCTTTTTCAGGACAGTACATTGCAGGGCAATTGGACCACATTGCATCATATTGTATAAGTGGTCATGTTATTGCTTTCACCTCCTACAGCTTCAGCAGCCCAGCACTGCCTCATGTCCCTGATTCAGTGCAGCGCTACGTTGTGTCTATAAAGCCTAAGTAAATAATAGACAAACACATTTTCAACCCGCAGTTTATTGTAGTTTAACCACAGCGGTGTTAAGGTTACTGTTTTTTAACCACAGTGTTGTGTAGTTTTCTGTAGTTTAACCACAGTGTTGTGTAGTTTTCTGTAATTTCACCACAGCTTTGTTCAGGTTACTGTAGTTTGACCACAGCAGTATGTCATTTTCTGTAGTTTAACCACAGTGTTGTGTAATTTACTGTAGTTTAACCACAGCGTTTTGTAGTTTACCTGCTAACCACAGCGTTGAGCAGGTTACTGTATTTAACCACAGCATCGTGCAGGTTACTGTAGTTAAACCACAGCATTGTGCACGTTAGTGTAGTTTAACCACAGCGTTATCTAGTTAACTGTAATTTAATCACAGCGTTGTGCAGGTTACTGTAGTTTAACCACAGCATTGTGTTTCCTGTTTGCAGGCATCACCACAGTGCTGACCATGTCCACCATCATCACCGGTGTGAACGCGTCCATGCCCAGGGTGTCCTACATCAAGGCCGTGGACATTTACCTCTGGGTCAGCTTTGTCTTTGTCTTCTTGTCTGTGTTGGAGTACGCTGCCGTCAACTACCTGTCCACCGTCCAGGACCGCCGAGAGCGCAAGATGAGAGAAAGGGCACGGTCTCAGGTGTGTTTCTGCTGTTCGGTGTTGTGAATGAAAAGGCAAACTGATGTGCAATTTAAATAATAAGAGGCATCATTTCCCTACTCAGGAGCTGGAGGAGACCTGACCAGAGCTATCATAACTAACATTAATTTGGTGTACACAAACATGATGCTATGCTATGTGTATGTAGGCAGGTTAGCTGCTGCTAACACTTACCTAAAAAACCTCACCAAAGGTGCTTTAAAAATCAAATCAAAGAGGCTTAATTGTCTCATGCAGAACACTGACCTACAGCCTCTTAACTCTGTAACTTAGGTCAGTACAATTCAACCAATCAATCAATGTATATGTCCCCATAAAGCAAATGGTTGCAGAGCAGCGAAACAGGGAGACAGAAGAAAACATATCATTAAAATACGCTGGAGAAATCAGGGAAACATATCAAATCAAATTATCAAGAATATAAAATCATAGAATGCACTGTTGCTCATAAAGTTGGAATAAAATATTTTTTACCTCTTTCCATGAAATGATTGTGTCTGTGATTTATTTCATTTCACCTGGGTAATTGGGACACATAATGTAATCATTGCACCTGGTCAAAAGTGATTACTGATGCATTTAAATAGGAATAAACAGAGGATTGTGTCTGAAAACAAAATTATTCCAACTTTATGGGCAACAGTGTATTTGCAGTTTTGATCTAGGATGTGTACAGTAGTGTATGTGCAGAATTCTGTAAGGTATGAAACATTTTTTTCTAACGGGGTTCTTGAGAGGGAATCAGAAGGTAGATCTGGATCACTGGATACAGGAACTGGAGCTGTCACAGAACTGACTGCAAATTCCCAGACACCAAGACACTGCTGTAGCAGCGACCAGCATCTTGATTTGGCAGACAACTGACCACTGCTCACTGTGACATCAGAGTGGTGTCTGTGGTTCGTGGCCTCGAATGTGAATTGAGGTTGATTTTACCTGTTTCCTATGGGGTCCGCTGTTCACAGAACCAGACTGGGTCAGTATGTGAGGTGGACATCAGTGTTCAGATGCGTGACACAGTGGTCAGGTGGTCAGGTTAAAATGAAGGTTAAATCATTACTCTTCAGTTGTAATTTTGCAGTTAATTCTGTTCTCTGGGGCTTTAACAGTCCTCCTGTGTAGAAACAAGCCCACAGTTCGTCTGTGCAGCAGTTTATTATGACCCATAGTCACGTTTTATTGTTGGATGGCCTCTAGCAGCAGAGGCAGGAAGTCAGGTGATGTAGTATAAGAAGCTACAACGCCCCTGTTTAGAGGAGGTTGTGGATGGACACACAGGAGACCACTGTTTGTTTCCCGTTTGAAAGCCATAGTCAGTTTTGTTCCACGATTTTCAATCACATTTATAATTGTAACCATGACAACAACCACAAGTTACTTATTTTAACTCAAACCAGCATGTATTCCTGAACCTAACCAAGACGTTTCAACCCACGTTCTAAACTAAACCACAACTAATCCACAACTGCAACCACATTTATTATGGTTACCATAACGATGAAGATGAGATCACTGTGTGTACCAGGTCTCTGGTACACTCCTATAGGTGGTGTCTGAGGGTGGGGACAAATGACTTTAGGTTGGAGGACTTGTTGACTTTTCACCTTGTCGTCCTGAGTCAGTTTCTCACAGCGATATATACAATAGTTTGTTTTTACTTGTGTGTGTCGGTGAGGCCAGTGTGACAGTTAGAGAAGATGAAATGGTTCTTTTATCACTTTAACAACAAACTGTTGATGTTAAATCATTAGCTGACCATTAAGTCGTGTCAGTTTGTTTCTCTTATGATATTGATTGTGTTATTAGAAATGAATGAGCTCCTGTTATTGGTTGAACAAGCCTATGTGTCGATCAGTGTCTGTGCTTTTCTTTCTGTGTCTGTCCAGTGTTTCAGCAGAAAAGCTACAACATTATTTTGAACGTCCCATTGAGATTTTTCAAAGGAGCCACTTTGTGGCCAAATGGTGTCAAACTCTGTCACATGATCACAGCAAGGTGTCGTGAAAAGATTTGATCCTGTGACCTCATCAACAAGGAGTCATCTGTGCTGCTGTGTCATGGGACACAGAGAAACATAGGTTGTAACTTGGTAATAATCATGTCATTTTAGTTATCCAACCAAAAACCCATTCAAAAAGCGAAGAGACTTCAGGACGAGGGAACAGGAGGAGCTAATATGCAGCTATGTGATTTCTGGTTTTAAGACTCATTCCTGCAGAAGTCAGTCCAACTAACCCTGAAATAAAAAGTTCTTTTACCTATAGTTCAATAATGACAGAATCAGTGTAGCACCAACAAAAAACCCAGCTGTCATCTGCCCCAGACACACACAAGACACACACCAGAGCGACAAGTGCACACACAGAGACATGAGCAAGTATGTAGCGCACACACACACACACACACACACACACACACACACACACACACACACACACACACACCAGTCTGACAGGAGAGGAGGAGGAAGAGGATGAGGCGTTTGTGAGATATGGATCAGGACCAGCTCTTGGCCTCTGATCACAGAACAGTGAAGACCCAACTCACTCACTCAGAGCTGTAATCAAACCAATCAAACAGACTTGGAGGCAGATACCAGTTCTCCCTCAAACTTACCTGTCTCTCCCTTTTCAAAGCTTAGAAACAACACATCAACAAATACACAAATAAAAAAAAAAGCCTCAGTTCCAATAAGTGCGTGTGCTAAAGTTCATATAAGTTCATATATTTTCAAAAATAAGGGAAGTGATCAGGATTAAGTCTCTCAAATCCACCCAGAATCAAAAAGCCACTGTCTGTGAACTGTTATCTGCAGAGAGAGAGAGAGAGAGAGAGAGAGAGAGAGAGAGAGAGAGAGACTGGAGCCGTCTCTGAGGTATCATCACTTTCCTTTTCTTTAAAGAGAAACTGCCTGGACAGAGAGCAGCCTGTCGTTTCCGTAGAAACAGTCAACAGGTTATCAGCATCTCTGTGGGACCTTCAAAATAATGTCACAGGAAGAAAAAGCACAGACACTGATCGACCTGAAGATCAATAAGATTATTATTGATCAATAACGAGACAGAGACAAAATCATTCCCAACAACCCAGAGTCAGACTGACCTTTCTATAGAGCAAGGAACGAGATCCAGACCCGGTGCTGGTCTTGATGTGGAGAGCAGAGGCTTTTTCAACCAGTAACAAGAGCCCATTCATTTCTAATGACACAATCAATATCATGAGACAAACACGTGACTGAGCGAGTGATCAGCTGATGACTTCTACAGTTCGTATTAAAATAATAAAACAGCCATTTCATCTTCTCTCACTGTCATTCTCTGGGTTTTTATACATGTATATCATCAGTTGTATCAGTTTTGCTAAGTGATGGCTGAAGGTCTGAGTTTTTCTATGTTTCATCACTACTGCTGTGCAGAAATCATTCACAGGTCAGGCTTTGCTTAGATGTAGTGACCTGGTTACACGGCTGTAGAGGTTCATCTTAAGTTTGGAGACGTGACAGAGTTCACTGAACATTATTAGTGTTTATCTGTAAACAGCTGACACTGAGAATCAGAAAAGAAGAATTTTAAGAGTGTGTGGGTAGAAACAGAGAAACAGAGGGAGCGTATCAACAGATATCACTTTGTTTTAATCAGTGAAGTGTATCAGCTGGAGTCTTCAGTAACAGGGACAACCAGATGTTAGTCTGTGACAGGTTAGTGGCTCGAACACACAACCCTGGCTGCTAGAAATGACTTCTCTATACAAGTGAACTTCAACAGCAAATACGTTTTGTAGGAAACCTTAATCTGTGGCTGGATCATGTACAGAGGAAACGTGTGTTGTGAATGAATGAAGCAGCACATCAGGAGGTGGTTGAGGTGAATGAAGGACGTACAAAACAAGAGACCAGGATCTTTAACCTGAACCTGGTGCTGTGAGAGTCTGAACAGAACCATGTTGAAAGTTTAATAAAGCTGCAGTCACTACAGGCGGAGATTGCTCTGCAGGATCAGATATTCTGGTGGTGTTGTCTGTCAACATTTTACTGATAGGTTCAGTATCAACATATACATATGTTTGCAACTATATACATATATATATACTGTATATAGTGTATATCAGGTTGCATATACGTGCCCTACAAAAGATATTTGCTGTTGCATTTTAGCTGTACATTTTCAGGAGACAGGGAATTTCTAAGGAATCTGAGAAAGGCCATACTCACAAATCTTTCTTTTAGAAAACAATTTTTTAGATAATTATCCTGTTATCTGGAGCTAACGAGGCTTGTTTTCTCATTATAATGGCTACATTAATCAGAAATCTGATTTCCCAAGCCAGTATGCAGATGAACTTGTGCTGTAAAGTGAAAATGTCAGGACGACACATTGATCAGAGATCAGAGAAGATTTCAATCAAGGGCAGAAATGTCATTTTCACATCAGTCCTCGTCAGCAAACGAGTTACTGAGGATCGTTGCTAAGGAGGAGCGTTACTGCGACTTAGTGTACGAAGTTCAGTCAAAATAATTTTCTCCTGATCATATCTCGTTATCTTTGTTATCTTGAGATAACAAGCTAAAAAAACATCAGCAAGTATGTGGTTCCCAGCCCAGATGTCAAGATGCTGCACGGGGTCCTGAGATAAATTTGAGGACTCATCTGTCTGAGCTTATTCTCTCAGTCAGTATCAAGTGTCGTCCGTCATCGGATCAGACATCATGCATTACCTTTGTGTGAGCATAAAGTCTCCACAGTCACCAGCATTCAGCAGGAAGTACCGTCAACTCCGAAACATAATGAGCTTCAACATGCTCATTTTAGCAGAGTAGTGTAGAATAATGAGTGGGTTATGTAGGGATGTCAGTATATCAACATTAGAGAACACAACAGAAGGTCTGCAACATCACTCATGTCAATGTCCACTGATCCACTTTCTGACGTCTGTGCTGCAGGGAGTGAACACACTCATTACACTGACTGCGCACTAGCTGCTCCTGAAATGCTTCGTCTGTGTTTAGAATTCATTTTAATGGATCAAAAATCTGCAAAAACATCACTTAGAAGCTTTGAATTATTCATGAACAGCAAGCTGAACTTTGTCTGGGCTGTGACTCTCTGTTAGAGCAGAAAAAGGTTTATATAGCAACAAATACTGTTTTGTGATGAATGAATGTGTGTCCCTGAGTGAATAAAAACCAAGTGAAGTGGAAGTTTTAAAAGATGAGGCTGGCATCAGATCATAACTTTTTTTTTTTGTGGTTGACAAACATGTGGAGCAGGTACGTATCCAAGGGTGGACCTGGTCAGGCCCAGACCAGGGGCCAGATGTTCATGACTAAAGCTATGTACACTCACAAAACCAGAAATATTCATACACGGTTCCACTTTATAAAATGTCACTCGGTGAGAAATTGGGCGCATGTGCACGAGCCTCATTTCCACTCTCACAATTAGCTAAAAATAGATGAAGACTCTCCCTTAATCAATCAGCTTGTATAAAAAAAACACTGTCCGTGCCACAAGTGATCAGACACAGAGAAGAAAGACGAGACAGAAGAACAATTTCACAGATTATGAAACTGAGATAAAAACATCATCAGTTTACTTTAGTACAATCACTCTAATGTAAAGTCCTGTTTTACTGTGAACTTCATTTATCGGGACTGGAGAGTCTTAATGAGGCTCTAACACTGTGATTAGTAAATATTAAAATAGAATGAAACAGTTACAGAATGACTCACAATAAATAGGATTTTAAACGATGCTGAAGGAAACACTGAGCACAAGCACTCCACTCAGTGAAGGTGGTTTGATTTTATGTTAAATTACATTATTACATTATTATTTTGTATTTTCACTTCACTGTAACTTTGATCGCTGGTGTGGAAAACTTGGAAAACGGTGTGTACGCACGGTCAGAGGAATGTGTGAGATGCACAATTTATGTGCGGGAAAATGGCGTGCGCATGGTTTTTATGCACACTCGTTCTCTAGCTCTTTATTCTCATTCATTCTGATGCACACATACACACACACAAGGAGCCTGACTCCAGAGAAAGATTTTTTGAATTGAATACGTGTTTGCTGATATAACTCGCCTGAAACTGGACTTGTGTGATTTTATATTTTCAATATCTATCTTAATATCTATCTTATCTAATCTTCTAATCTATCTTATCAATAGATTTTCAAGAAAATGTTACGAAAAAATAAAAGTATAAAGCCGTGTAGTTGGTGAGCAGCTCTGAGTAATCTGTCTGCTGTGAGCCGTGTTCAAATGAGATTCTCTACCTCTGTCTTTTCATTTTGTTGATTTATGAAACACAACTCAAGAGTTTGATGACAGATTCACAGCAATGCTCAATCTCATCTTTAAATGTGTTGCTGACGGGATTGTCAGAATAAAATGATGCCTCACATTAACAAACAAATTAGCTGGACAAGCTGTGGCTAATTTACTTTATGAATAATGGTTATGTCATAATGATTCACATGCAGTAAGAACTGTGCCCTAGATCCACCCATTGGAAAGAGGGGGCAGGCATTAAATAGTAAATATCATATTATTATAACTAATGGATGGGAAATGAGCTAACACCTAACCACTGAAATTTAAATATAATATCAACTGATGTTCCTTTTGTCTAGCAAAGAAGTTTTACATTTTGTGACATTTGAAACCTTTAAACTACACATTTTCAGATTCATCCCCAGCTCCATGACTGCTGCTGCCAGGCTGACACAGGTCAACAATGCTAATGCAGTTTGAGGGTTGCCAGATCATAGTCGAGTATTCCCCATATCCCAGTCGTTTATTCTTTATAATAATAACCGACATTTTGCTGAAAACCCACAAACCTGGCAGCTCGTTGCTGCATAGATCCTGCCGGTGACGCAGAGGGGAGTTAAAATGGGAAGATGGTTTGAGATGGGTAAAAATATTGTTAGGGACAGTTCAGCAACACTTTGACATTGGAAGGGACATGTCCCTACTGTCCACACTTCAATCTATACCCATGAATGAAACCGCAGCTGGTGGAGGAGGAAGTGCAGAACAAATGAGGATTTGCGTAAATGAAGCCAAAACAGCGGAGGAATAAAGTGCTGATTTGGCACCAACCACAAGCCCCTCCTTCTAAGGAGTCTACGTGGCCCCCATCAGATTTTCCAGAGGCTCACGCTGAATTGACACTGGTAAAACCTGGATTTAGAAACTGGAGATTGACAGGGTCAGGCTGCTCCAAACGTACAACTGCTCTCTCTCTCTCTCTAAGTTGGAAGCTTACAGGGAAAGCCACGAGCCACCGCATCGTGGCCGGGTGTTTAACCCGAATGGTGATGCTAGGAATATGGATTCAGTGGAGAGAAACTGTCAGCATGTCAAAGTGGTGCTCTAAGAGGCTCTAAAGGGAGTAATTTCTTCAAGTACACTGAAAAACCCAACCCCCTGAAATAAAGAACAGTCACTGATATGACTCCAAACACACAGAATGAAGTGTTGGAGCTTTGTTGTTATGGAAGACAGGTAGGGCAGAACCTGAGGTCTGATCAGCCCCAGCTGGGGGTGTCTGGTCAGCTGTGTATGATACTGGAAACAGCTGATGAGCCCAGGTGACATCACTGATGATCTGCCCCAGCTCAGCATCAGAGGATGTTTCACTTCAACAACGTTTTGTTTTATTTGTACAATATTCCGCTTAGCTCATTTAAACTGGCACAGTGGGTTGTTTGTGTTCGTTCACACATGCGATTTATTTTTTTCAGATTTGATGAATAACAGTGAAAAAGTTGATTGCACTAATTTGACTATCATTGTACGACTTTGACCAATTCTGCCATATTGTAATATACCAACACACTGATATCACAAAACTATTCTTGTTGAAACTCTGACCATCTCAGCTACTGTGTATCCCACAGCCGACGGAATGAACTCGGAGAGTGTGTATGTATTACATGACAGGATGTTTTGTCCTGAGGGGGGCACTACAGTAAAAGTCATGTAAAAGCGTTCATCCTCAGGGGAGCATGAATGAGCGTAATCAGCGTCACGGCAGTCCTGGACATAGTGGTTCCCAACCAGGAGGTAGGGATCCCCCTGAAGAGGTTGAAGGACCCAAAGAATTATATAAATAGAAAAGGAGCGGCATGGTGGTGCAGTGGTTAGCACTGTTGCCTCATAGCAGTTTCTGGATTTGAACCTGCCGTGTGGAGTTTGCATGTTTTCCTTGTGGCTGCGCTGGTTCACTCCAGGTACTCCAGCTTCCTCTCACAGTACACGTGGGTCCTAATTATAGCAGATGAATAAATCACTGGTTGACCTGGACCCATAGGTATACCGTATGTAAACTGTGACAATGGTTTTAAAAGGTTGCAAGGAAAGGAAAGGTTAGGGGGGCAACAGTGACACCGGACTCCATCCTCTGGGAGGGAAGTTTCACAGGAACACATGAACTCCCTAGTTTATGAACATTGGTCAGTTAGAATTATTGACCCAATGGTGATGTGCATTGATAGACCAGGTGGTCGTTTCAGTTAAACATAGTTTCCCTTAGGGAAAGTGACATGGCATTTGTGCCTATAGTTGGAGCAAGATCAACAATCACTGATATCATCTGCCTAACTGTTCTGGAGGAAGGACCAGGGCATTTACAGTAACAATATACAGTATATTCATAGGTCTTCATCCTCCTCATTGTTTGAGATACCTTGTCATGGACAAAGGTTTTCGTCAAGATGAAATGTTGACCTTATGTTGGTTAATGAAACCCAGGTCATGACAGTTGTTATACTCTAGGGACATTGAATATTCATACCAAATATCACGATATTGTTGCCTATATGTTACCTGGAATAAAGTATTGGAGCAACCAACAATCACTGCTATAATTAGAACCCAAAATTAGCGGAGCAAAAACAAGTATGAGGACGGATTACAAAAGCAAACCATCTGCTAAAGACATCGATGAGTCTTGATGACTTACTTCAAGCACGGGATGCCTGACAACCTCCCTAAACTTTGCTGTACTTCTTTAAAATCCCATCCATAATAATGATTATATTGCATATTTCTTCCCTCACAGTCGCTGCCCTGCACCTGTGGTATCTCCCAGACACGAACCATGACCATGTTGGACGGCACCTACAGCGAGGCAGACACCAACAGCCTGGCCGGCTACACTGAGGAGCCCATGGTCCCCGAGGAGGAACACGAAGAGATGCATGAGGTTCCAGAGAAACCCGAACACATGGTGGTCCACCTGTCAGTCAGCAGCGAGTCCACTACCACCAAGAAGAAGAAGAGCCTGCGTGCCCTCAACATCATCCAGAACACGCACGCCATTGACAAATACTCCCGGATGATCTTCCCTGGTTCGTACATCTTCTTCAACCTTATCTACTGGTCCGTCTACTGCTGAGAGACGCTCCTGAGTCAGGACTGAAGCAAGAGAGATTAACACAGAGACAGTATGAATGCTGCGTCACTATGGGATATTTCTGGACAAATCATAAGTCATGTTGTACTGTACGTCTGGTGCTGGTAGATCATTAGGTTTAAGGCCTTGGACAGTAAAAGAGTCTGAAAAGATGAGTTTTGACTAGAGGACGGTTTGGAGCACTCCTATTTGATTTTTTTTTCCTCATGCAGCAATTTGAATGTTCAGTAACACTCTAAACTAAAACATAGACAGTGTTCATCGAAAAAGTGTTTTTAAACTACTGACGCTAATTCTCTCAGTCTTTTTCTCTTCGTCAGCTGCCGTTGAAAAGTTCTCCGTCCTCATCACCACTCTTCCTGAGATGATTCCCACTCAGTTTTTGTATTTGACACGTAACATTGATGGATAAAGATAAGGTACACTTTTTTGCGTGTGATCATGCTGTAAACTACTCACTTAACAGGTATCTGTAATTATATTTCTTTGAAATAATCATCAAGATGGAAAGCACTATGATTATAAAGTTTTTAGACCCATTATCTATCGGTCATGACTGAGTTATAAACTGCAATTACTGTTTCATTTTGTCAAGGTAACAAACTTTGACCATATTTTTTAAGCCTGTTATATCAAAAATGATATTATCAGAGACTTTTAACAGCTCAGAGAGGGTATATTTAGTACTTTGAGCTAAACGTTAACACAAGCATGCTAACATGCTCATGCTAGCTTGTATGCTTACCAAATTTCCATAATGTTTCCATCCACTACTGTTATGCGAATATGAGTTAAAGGAGTTATCTGTAAGTTTTGCTTTCGCTACATAGCTAACGTTAGCATTAACAGCTGTTTACTTATCAGTCTAGTAAAAACGTTGTGAGTTCAGCATCAAACTTCTTTCCTTTACTCACCAACAGCTGTCTCCAGGGGTGGGAAGAAACACCAATGTTAACACTTGTCTCTATCATGTCCTTTCTTACTTACAAATAACCCCTTGAAGTACATTTAGATAAACAGCTGGTGGTGCTAATTCTCTTAGGGGACATTAAACCACTGCAGAAGAAAAGACTACAAGATGATATAATTAAAAGAAGGCCAGTTAAACCTCAAAAGATGGAAACCCATGTGGAAAATGATATTTCTGTTTCATGTATTAATTTGAGCAACATTGCAGACTCCTCATTGCTCCACACAGATCTGATGTTTAATATATTCCAAGATTTATTTGCTGAGTCCATTTCCATTGCAGTTTGTTGCTTCTAATTTTTACTTTGTTTTTTGCTTAAGCTGATAATGTGCAAAAACAAGTGGATGGAAACACACTTATACAGGGACTCCAGCAAAAATTATAGAGCAGAAAGAGCTTAAACTAAGACAAAAATGTTAGGATGAAATAATGAAATTGTGATAACAGAGATAACAGTTTAATTAGACATTTTAAGATGACTATCCTCAAGTTGATCTTGTGACTAAATTTGACAACTCATTAATGATCTTGAGATAACGGGCCTAAAAATATTAACAGCTGTGGCCAATCTTGACTTCTGAACTATTTAACATGTAAATCCTACTGTATAACTGATTTGATCGTCATGTTGTTGTGATGTTCTGTATCAAGACTACAATGACTTTTTGAGAAAGCGTCCTCTTGGTAAACGTTTGTGGCACAACACAGCAGTGGATTACATAAAGGACCATTTAATCTTAGTCCTAGTTGCCTTAGCATGTGACATAGATATAAGAAGCGTTGGACACGAGCAGTACTTATAATATCTAAGAGGTTTGTTGGCCAGTGGGACATTTTCTCCTGAGGTCACTGTAGTGATTTATCCCAGTTAGCAAAGAAAATGAACAGAAGCTAGCTCAATGAACTGCACTGATGAATGCAGCCATTCATTCAATATCATCTCAGAGAGACTGGTTCATCTTCTCCCTGACAGAAAAGTTTATTCCAGATTTGGGACTCTCGAATTAACTTCTTGTCCGTCTTGCACTAATGGAACTTCTTTAGAAATGAATATGCGTGGTGAAATGTTAATCACACTTCTCACAGTGTGAAAACATGCTTGTAATGGCTGATTTAATGTTTGATGTCTTTTTGTTTTACTAATTTAATCTGATAAAAAAAGTGGTGATGAACTCAGCTCCCCAGACCAACAAAAACTATGATTGTTCGCCATTTGTACATTCGTGAATTCACCTGTGTGTGCATTCAAAAGTGATAATGTTCCGCTGAGAACCAGGATTGTTTTTTTTTCAATTTCTGAAAAGCTGAAACACATTACTGAGGTTGTCTGTCCATGAGTATCTGCTGCTGTACTGTTTTGGTAAAATCTGAATCTCATTACAAGGCTAACAAACTAATCATTGTTCTAATGAATCATCAAGAAGGTGCTCAGGTCTTACTGACCAGTACATTGATATTTTATATACTAATTTGTATTATTGTATTATTTGTATTATTTTTCCCCTTAGAAAGATTGACAACAGAAACTGTCCATAAGAAAATACAGTTCCGCCAGTGGAACAGAGGCTAGCTTCAGATGGGGACAGAGGTCTGAGTCTAAATATGGTGGCCCAAACAAAAAAGGAATAGGGGGAAAAACTTAATTTCAGAAAACATGAAATTTCACAGAGGGTATTTTACACACAAAATCTTAATAAAACACTTCAGCAGTTTAGGAAACTAAACTTTTAGAAAGCAGGGTTAATGCCTGTTAGGGGTGTCTTTCAGTTTAATTAACTGTCCCCGTTGAAAGTGTAGCCAGGATGTTTGATGTATTTAAAGTTTTATTCACTGCCAAACTTAGCTGTTTGTTTATTTATTCCCTTTGATAATGCATGGCCATTTATGCTGAGTATTTGATGAAAATGAAAGAAGTTCAATCAGCATTAAGGATGAGACAGACAGACAGCAGCAGCAGCATACCTCCTCTCATGTTTTCTGAAACGATGTGTTTTCTGTAATGCTGTCAAGAGATCGGAGAGTGGTGTCAGACTTTTGGACCCCACTTTATGTTTAATCTATTGTCTATCACCACGGACCCTCTGCGTGATAGAGGTGGGCGTCAACTGAGCCGCCCGAGCTGTCTGGACATGTTTTCTGGCATCTTGTTTTGCACCACAGGACCTCTGCACTTCTACCAAAGTGAAATGTCAAAAAATTAGAACACCTCCTTTCTTCCAGATGTTATTTAAATGTACATGACTGCTCCCGAGCTGCTGAAAGTTCAGTAAAAACTGGGAAAAAAAACGGTTCATTCTAAACCTTTTGACTGGTGGTGTACACCATAACGTTTTCATGAGGTGGTAAAATTTGTGAAATTATTCCTGTAATATTTTGGAGTCGTACATGTTTTAAGTTAAAAGGTGATGTACACAGTTCTTTTAGGCCCAAAAATGCCCTTTGGAAACAAATAGTTTATCATTTCATTTATTCTTAAAGTCATGTCATATTAAAGTGGCATTTGGAACATACTGGTTGTTTAAAAGAATGTATTATAACAATGTATATATAAGCTTTAAAAAACATGATTTGTATATTAGTGTAGCCATTTATAGATCAACCAAATTGCACTATGTCTAATTTAGACAAATACAGCCATTTGATAGATTCTATCATCTGATGATACATTTATTGATAATTGGGTAAAACTGATCACATTTGATGTCTCCAGTGAAGCTTTATTCATTCACACTGTGACAGTATGCAGATTTATATAAACCTGTACCTTTTCAGAAGCTGTTTCCATTTCGTTAAACATGAAGGCTGTGGTTGAAATGTACTGTAGGCCCATCACTGTAACACATCCATGAGTTGCTGTTGACACTAAAGAATGTTGCAATGTATTTATGGGGAACATTAAATATAATTATGATGGACTAAGAATGCATTTGATTCAGAAAGTACACGCAAGGCACTCGGGACACTAAATTGACAAAATGAATATTTGATAAATAGTTTTTTTCTGTGGAGTGCTGGGGAAAAAAGGCTGTTTCATTGTTTCCAGACTCGCCACACACCGAGGCTGATGCGGAGAATGCATTTCAGATCCAGCGTTTTCAGGTTTGCTCATCAGGGCTGCCAAGCTGCCAACAGCTACATGAAAATCTTTTATCTCATTTTCCAAATCATCTCCACAGGATCAGCATGTGGTGAGGCCCGGAGCTCTGGGACAATTAGGGTTTGACTGATCTAATGCCCGCACTTAAAGCCGCACTAATCAGGGTTTTATTAGTAACAATGCGTCAAATGTGTCGTGTGAAAGGAAAAGCTTACAGTAATGAGCCCACAGTTATCACCGACTCTGCAGCTCCCCTCAGCTCTACTGAGCTGTTTGGTCTCTTTCAGTTCATTGTTTTGATTTTATGGCAGCAGACACTTTGTTTTCAGTGAAAAATAAGTGAATTAACTGAGAGCAGTCTGAGCCCAGACACCCTGTGGAGGAAACTCATTTCAGCTGCTTGTATCTGTGATCTCATTCCTTCAGTCTCTACCCAGAGCTCAAGACCAGAGGTGAGGGCCAGAACAAAGACCAACAGGTGAATGAAGAGCTTTGCCTTCCGGTTCAGCTCCCTCTTCACCACAACGGTCTGGTACAACGCCCACTTCCCTGCTGACGCTGCACTGATCCTCCTGTTGATATCCAACTCCATTTTTTTTTTTTTTTTTTTGTGAAACTTCTAACAGCTAAAGGCCTCAGGTAAACAATGTTTTTGTAAGTCAAAAAGATCGTAAATCACTATTTCCATCTTTGACATTGTATTGTATTTCATGAGCTTATCATCTTTCCTGAAGTAAGAGTATCAAGGAAATACAGCTATCAGATGAATGTAGTGCAGGAAAGAAGCACATTTCCCTCTGAATTATAATGGAGTAGAAGATTAAAATAGTATCAAACAGAAATACTCAAAGAAAGTAAACTATATCTAAATTACAGCACGGTACTTAATAAATGTTCTGATGTGCTGTGACATCTGGGAGGGTGGTGATATCATTCCAACAAAGTCCTACAGGCAATAAACCCTAGCAGTCACATGATCTGTTTATTTGAGTGGCAGGAAATGGAAATACTCAACTAAAGTAAACATCCTCAAAACTGTACTTCAGTATTTGAGTAGATGTACTTAGGTACTTTCCTACACTGTAGTC